TTGCGTTGGTGATCAACGACAGCAAAGTCTAGAGAAAAAAAAAAAAGAGGGAGTTGAGAAAATGAGCTCGGGAAAGAAAAGTCTAAAAAAAGAAAAGTAATACTGAGTAACGCTTTTTTTTTTTTATTATTTGTTGCAGGGGGACATTTGACATTATTAAATATCATCACTTTTTTTTTTATTTCTTTTTCTCTACACATCACTTTTCTATTTTGTTTATAAAAAGGCAAAGAGTAAAATAAAAAGGAAGAGAAAATTTTTTTTTATTTGTAAATTGTTTTAGGGGTTGAATGTCTTAGATGTCTTTAGAGCCTCGCCTTTATCATGTGGAACAACAAATACAGCATTTAAGTAAACAAGTCGGACTTCTCAAGCAGCTTATTACGACGGAGGTAACTGACCTCCGGAAAAACATGGAACAACAAGTGGCGGAGGTGAAGCAAGTGGTGATGTATCAAGATCGCCTCTATCAAGAGAGAATGTCGAAATTGGAAGTTCGCATTCAACAGCTATCGGAATTTTGTTTGCATTTGGCTCGTTCTACCGGGCATGTTTCCCCTTCAGTTGCACTGATTCCTACTGGTATGGTAGCTGCACCAGCTGAAGTTCGAACTCTGGAACAATTTACCGCCTCCGAAACCATAAATAGAAGGACGCCTGACGGCGATGAAAATGAAGAAGAGAATCAGAATGAGGAGATGAAAGATGTTAATGGAATAATAGAAACATATCAGGATCGTATCAATACAATATACGACTTTTACACGGTGTCAACAATTGATATTTTTCACCCTACGATGACGCTATCTCATTTTTCGCGTATGGTAAAAGACTGTCAGTTGTGCGGGCTTTCTCAAGGAACCTCTACCGAGTTGCTCTGGATGGCGGTGATGCGCTCATTGAACAAAAGGCATCACAAGCAGTTGGATAACGTCCAAAACCGCGGCATAACTTTGGGAAATCAGGTTTCTACTGAGCAAAGGAAAAAGCTTTTTGCCTTTCAACGCCTTGAGGCAATTCCAAAGGAATGGTTTGGAGAAGCTCTGTATATTCTTGCAATGGAGAAGCGTCGTTTACGACTGCTTCCGGATGGTAGTACGATTATTGATACAGTAAGCTCTTTAGATGAAAAACCGAAAGATATATTTCTTTCATTTTTGTTGTATCACATATTTCCATATGTTGATGCAGCCATAGAGGAAAAGCAACGTTCACAAGGTTTAGTTTTTCACCTTGGCTTAGGAATAAATGGTGAAGATAATAGTGGGTTTTTTTCTACGGTAAGCAATTTGATTCAATCATACAAAACGGATGCTGTTGCGTCTGTTGTAAAGGAATTTATTGGGCGGATCAAAGAAAGTTATAACAGCGCCATTAGGACTGCACAGGGATACCACAGCACTATGATGAACTTGGATGGCTTTGTTGAAGTCGCCCGTCGGCATTTATTGCTTCCGCTCATTCATAAGCCAGATTTGCGGCACATTTTTCTTTACTGTTGTGCTGTGGAAAAGGAAAAGCACCCAGAGACGGAGGAAGGAAATATTTCTGTGGGTACGTTTCTCCTTGCGTTATATCAGTTGGCAGATCGGATCTATGGTGATTCTCTTATGAGAAAAAAATTTCCTACTCCCGAAGCACGAATGAAAAGGCTTTTAGCCAAAATGTTTTTTCTGAGTTGACAAGTCAATATATATATATGTATATATTTGTCTATTGCCTCCGGAAATTCCTGCGTTTGTTTGTTGTTGTTGCTGTTTGTCTGTTTGTATTTCTGTAACATTTGAAAGTGTTTTTTTTTTTTTTTTTTTTTTTTGCTTTTATGAAATTTCATTTTGGGAATATCCGAACTACGTGGGAAAAGGAAAGGAGGCACAAGGTGCTCCAAGGTCAAATGGAGGGAGAAAGGACAATGAAAAAAAACAAGAAAGGGAGTGCGAGGGGCGACTGTGATGGAATGATATCTGTAGGTGCAAAGCGGTTGTTGGTTTCAGTGCAAGATAAGAATCGTCGTCAAAAGCATGGCAAATTCTTTGATGAGCTTCTTTTAGTGACCCAAAAGGCGAAGCGAAGTCCTCAGGTTATTAATATTCCTGGAAAAAATGAGGTTCCAGTACTGGCAGTTGGATATATCGCCCGTGCTATGGGCCTTAATTTATCCAATGTTGAGGTCTCATGTTTGGTGGAGATGGTGGAGGAAAAAGATTTAGCTTCTCGAGGTTTTGTGCCTGCAGACGCACTAAAAGAAGTAATTGTCGAGGCCCTCATGACGGGTATAATGGCTCCCCCAAAGGCGCCGGTGAAAGCTACACCCTCTCGAAAGAAAACCGCCTCTACTCTTCCCCCTGCAACTATAAAGCCGATTTCTGTCGTTCGTGATGGCGAAGAGGCAATATACGAGGCTTTTTGTGTGTTAGATTTGGGTAGGCGTGGTTACCTGGAGGCAGAGGAAATGCGGCATTTTTTGCGTATTGGAGGCGAACCATTTACAGAAGAGGAGGTGGAAGAGTTCATAACAGCCGCTGCTGACCCTGAAAATGGCCGTGTATACTATGAGGAATTTGCCGATGTACTTGCAAGAGAATAGACTCATGTAAAGGCAAAAGGGCGGAAGCCGTGTTTCTTTCTGTTTTTTTTTTTTTTTTTTTTTTTTTGCTTTTTCTCTGGTGTGTCTTTTGTCTTCTTTTTTTCCCGTGTCTAATTTCTTAAATCAGTTTCTCAGGGGGCTGAAGAGAGCGATGTGAAGGCAGACGGCTGCCCCGCCACCTCTCTTTTTCTCAGTTGGGCTTGGCAAGCGAGAACCTAGCCCTTTGAACCGTACTGTACTGTAATGAATACTTTTGTATTTTATGTCATTGATGCTGCTTCTTCTTGTGTTTGTATTTATGTGTATTTTTACCACCATCACTCCGGTAGCTTTCAGTGAAGTTTACTTATTAGCGAGATCATTTGTTTATTTGTGAGCTGCATAGAAAACTAATAAGCAAAAAAAAAAAAAAAAAGGGAGACGCTAAAAGAATACACGAAGCAGAAAAGAAAATTGTGTTGGGGAATATGATGCGACGCGTGCTTCGTGCCAAGGTCCTACATTTGCCAGGGGTGTCACGTCGTGCTGCGAGCTCCTTCACGGCTGGTGGCAGCAATGAAGGGTCACGTCGTCAAAATCGGGAGCGCACGTTGGAGACAAAATCATCCGCATTTCATGTTGGTAGTCGCGTGGCGAAGAGCGAGATGCATCGGACACCATCGAGTGATGTTACCCGAAAGAGCCATTTGAGGGCGGAGGAGAAGACAGGGGTGCTTTTCCCGGATGCCCAGACGCACGAATTGGATGAGATGGAGGTTGCGGATGAAAAAGAAACTCCCTTAATGGAGAACATACGGCAACAGAAAAGGCAAGAGTATGATGATGGTGATGACGATGGCGAAGAAGAAGTACGGGCGCCTCCAAACCTCAAAAGAAGATATGACTGTTACATTCGGCCAAAACGAGAGACAGTTGTTCTCACAAGCTCCTTTGCCAATCGTGTTTCAGCGGGGGCGGACATGGATGAGGATGACGAAATGGAGGATGACGTGACCAAGATCTACATGAGTCCGGCACTCTCCAAGGGATGTTGCGGTGAGGGTAGGGTGACCGGTGCGCGTGTTACTGAGGCTGATGAACGCGATGTACTCAGGACGGTTGAGACGCATGACGAGAACGCGATAGATGGCATGGAAGCTGGACAGGATAATGGGAACGAAGTGGAAAAAGAGGCAACTGAAAACAGCGAGGAGAAAGATGAATTTAAAAATGTGAAGAATCATTCGTTTTATGCAGATCTTTTTCGACGCATGGAGAAGAACGCCACACGTCACCGACCGCAAATTAAATCAGCTGGTCGTTATAACTTGGAGGCTGTAAATCTGTGCCTTCGACCTCTCCTTCAACTCACAGATTACCCGCTTACCATTGGTCAACTGCAGCAAATGGCACCGTTCATTTACTCGAACCTTTTGAGGCGTTCTCTCCCTGACCTGAAGGCATGTCGACGTCTTCACATTTATCGCTCTGCCGAAACAGATGTCATACTGGATTGGTCAATGGAGGATTTTCTTCGTCGACGCTATGAAAGTATTCACCTCTCATGGGAGCCGGTAAAAATTGTCATGATGCGCCTTGGCTGGAACCAGGAGCTGATGACAGATCGCGACTGCCTCTTGTACTTTTCAAAATTTCGGGACTACATCGAGCTGGCGGAACTGGAGCTGAGCGCGGGGGATGACAAACCAAAGGCTCTACCAATTGACGACGCCGAGCGAACGGCAGAACAGCGGCCTATCCCAGTTTCTAAACTTCTCATACGTCGCAAGGCGACGGAGGAAACGGAGCCATCCGTGACAGAGGCGATTCGGCTTATGGGAACACCTGCATTGTCAAAGCCTGCCAAATCACGAAAGGCCCACGTGCCTGAAAAAGACAGTGTGGAAGGGGCATTTGAACTTATCCAGCGCGAGGCGTCAAGTGTGGATGGTGATGAGAAGACGAAGCTGCAGCACGCTATTAATGCTGCACCTTCCTTGCGTCAGGCCAGTCATCCCTCTGGTCGCTGCGTAAAGGAGTTTTCAATTGGAAAGGAAAAGCATACCGTGATTTCTGAGGGGTCTCCGGCTGCCCCTGCGAGAATTGAAAGTCATCCGTTTGATGAAGGCCGTCGTGCATACACCCCCGAATCCTACGAGGCTCTTGCTAACGCATACCACAAGAGAAGGGTGGAGGCATCACAGATACGTCGTCGAATTTTGAACACAGACAGCATTGATCACGCCAGTGAGCTACAGGAGAAGCTTGCCGCGGCTCAGAGGGATCTTCCACGTTTGCGCGAGCAACTTGAAAAGATGAGGCAGCTGCGACGCTCAGAGAAGACTGATTCTCCGGGGAGATCACACAACTCTTTTTCCAACTCGGAGAAACATACTAATGAGAATGGGCCGTCAGATGAATTTGAAAACATGGAGTATGTGGACGATAAGATTTCAAGGGAGATGCAAAAAGGACAAAATGCTTCCATGACGTCACGCACTTTTACAGAATTGAACTCTGTGAAGCAGCAGCAGCAGCGGCAGCGCCAACAAGAAAAGGGACAAACTGAAAAAAACCTTGATGCCGCCGAAGATAAAATGAAGATTGAACCTGTGGATAATGCAGATGGATGCGAAGCTGAGAACAATAGTTCAGGAAATCGCGGCAACGCTTCACCTTCAGGGGAGATCGAATCACTGTCTTCGGCGGCGTTAATGTTAAGGCAGGAGATTGAGTCCTTGCAGGAAAAACGTCGCCATGAAGAGGAGGTCCTTCTAAAGAAGATGGAAGAAGCACTTGGCACACTGCTCAAGATTGAAGATACGATGAAACGTGTTTCACAGCGCGAGGCAAATGAGATAGAGCGAAAGAAATTGGAGATGCAGAAAAAAGAGGAAGCAGAAAAACGTATGAGGCGGGAGCAGGCAGAAGCACGGGCCCGTGCTTTGGAAGAGGAACTGCTGCGCAAACATGAAGAACGGGTAAAGATTCTCAGCCAACAGCGTGAGGAGGCTCGTAAGGCGCAGCGAGAGGCGGAGCTTGCGCTGGAGCGGCAAAAGCAGGCAGAGCAAGCCGCATTTGAGGCAGAGGCAGAACTGGAGCGAAAACTACAAGAGGCTAAGTCAAAAATATGGAATGAAGAAGAAAATGAGGAGCTGACATGTGGTGGTTCACTAACGCCGCAAGCAAAGACCGCAGGGCCACCAACAATTCATGCAGAACGGTCAACGGAGTGTGGAGCGTCAAGCAAACCGGTACAATCCGACACCAGTACCCATAATGCCAACGTCTCCAGTGAGCCATCATGCACACCGGAGCAGTACGACGGTCTTTGCCTTGGTGCAGAACGGCTGCGAAAAGAAATTACGGAGCTTGAACGTCAGATGGAAAACGAGGGGGATGAAGATGACATGACGCTGATGGCTGTTTTGGCAACATCGCGGTCGGATCTGGAGGAACTGGAGGATTTTATCCGCGTTGTACGTCGCAGAGAAGCTTGGGCTGCAGAGCGTGACCAAGCACGAAAAGAGGAAATGGAACGTCAGGAAAGGGGGCGAGGGAAGCACCCAAATGATTTACAAGAGAAGATTGCTGCCATTCGCTTTCAGATTCATCTCATGGAAAAAAGACTGCAGCATGCGACTGAACGAAACATCATCACTAAACTTGAGCAGGGGATCATTAACAGCAGACGCGAGATAAGCCGGCTGCGAGTTGAACAGGATCGACTGCGGCGATCTGGGCATCACGCGGATGCTGGTGGCATTTGCATTCCATCTTCCATAAGTATTGCAGAGACGTTGGCGCAGGAAGAAGCCAAGAATGCGGAGGTGATTTCGGAAGAATCTGAGCATATCGCGGAAGAGGTCAATGCTGCCCATACACAAGGCACGGGCGACGCGTATGAAAATAGAACGACGAATGTGGAAGACGAGGATGAGGCTGATCAGCCCGAGTCTGTTAATGATACCGAGGATGCCGTTACAGGAGAGGAATACGATGAAAACGAATACGCCGAAGATAACTCTCTCAACGGTCAAGTTAAGACACTGGAAGATGGCCAAAAAGAGTTACAGCGGTTAACAGGACGGATGGAGAGCATATTGGATGACATCAAGCACCTTGAAGAAAATATTGCTTTGCAGGAGGGCGCAGAGGATGCCGAGGTGACTGCCGCATCACTTTCCGAGCTGCAAAAGAAGCTCCAGCAACTCCTGGAAATGCGTGATGCCATTAAGATTCGGACGGAGCAACTGGCTTTGGAGGACTCTGCACCCAAAAGCATTTCTGTTTCGCGAGCTCCTGCAGCCATAGAAACGGAAGCCGCAAACAAATTGAAAAAGACGACGACGATGACTGCAGCTACCAGACGGCCCAAAGTTCTTGCACCGTTGTCCAACCGGCCTGTGTCGAGCCACGCCAGCCGTGCCGAGGAAGAGGTGCTTCGTTTCGAGCACCACACCAGGGAGAACTACCAGCACGCCTCCCAGCGTGGAACGCCAGCTGCGCGTAGGATGCGAAAGGTTGCCAAAGGGAAGAAGGCCCGACGATAGAGCCAACAAATATGGTAAATGACTGAATAAGCGATAGATACGTATGCATATATACACGGTTTATTCAAAATACACCCAGATGATTGGAAGAGCACACGCACATAGAAAAATAAATAAATAAATAAAATTATCCCACGAAATTGTGGAGAATGAAGGTTTAAAGGCATATAAATACAAAAGTTTATAAATATGTGCACGCATAGAGGAAAGAAATAGTTTTCCGTTGTTTTTTTTTTTTTTTTTTTTTTTTTTTGCGTGTGGGCGTGGGTGTTTGTCCGATGATGGTTGTGCAATTCACAAGCAAGCAATGCTGCAGTCAAAAAGACGGACGGAATGCCAAGTTGATCATAAATTGCATTACAGACATACATGCATGCATAGAAGATATAAATGAATCAGGGAGAGAGAGGTGAGGTTCAAGGTCAACAAGGAAATAATTTTGCTGCATAGAAGGAAAACAAAATAAATAATAATAATGAGAAGAGCAGTTGCCCGAACCCCATTACCCTTAAGTATCGTTTGTTTGGGCACTGTTTTTGTCATTGGCTTATTAGTTGTTGGTTTTTTATTGTTGTTATTTTTGCGGCAATTGGAAAACGGAATGGATCCAACACTCCCTGGATCCTTTATTCCAGATGTTTCTTTTTTTTTCCTAATTGCTGCTTGCTGGGGTATGCGCGTGTTCTCCCCATTTTTTTCTTTTTTTTTTTTTTTTAATTTTAATATGACATGTGTGCACATGCACGTACATCTATGGAGTTTTGAGGGAATATGATTGGCATTAACAGTGTGATGAGGATTTGCAATTATTTTTCCCCCATTCTTTATTATTATTATTATTTATTTATTATTATTACGAGGAAAATACGAGAGACGAAGGGCAGGAATTAACTGGACATATATCTCATTTTTCACATTAGCACACAATGTTTCATTTAAGTTTCACTCGGCGCAAAAATCCCGTTATCTTCAAGCAGGGGCAGGGTATGTTCTCACACCAACTGAAACGTCTGCTGCAGAAGAAGGCGATTCACCGATACAACTGGGATCCTCTCCCAATGTACGACCCACGCAAACTAGTGCACGCGAATCGCCGTGTTGACCCGGAGACATGGCAGGAGGTGTACGATCCACACTGGGATGAGCGTGCGCACCTGGTACCAGATCAGGTGTATTATCACATCCCTGTTCCACCCGAGTACAAGGACGCCTATTGGTGGAGAGATCTTCAGGCACGCCGCGTGCAGTGTCCCGTGGAGTGGGTGAGTCATCGGATGTACAACAAGGGCGATCGGCAGCGCTACGATTTCCAGGACCTGTCGTTTCGGAAAAAGTTTGAGTATTCCTACGAGGAGGTAGTAAAGAATGCGAAAGATATGCGGAGCTGAGAAGGCCCCAAAAAATACAAAAAAAGAGAACTGAATGGGGTTACAGCTTGTGTTTCTCCTTTTTCTCTCTCTCCTTCCTTCCTCTGTATGTGTCTGTTTTATATTATTATTATTTCTCTTATTTTTGTTTCCCTTGCTTTAATTATGGTGTGAGCGCTGCTCCTCCGCAGGGTGGAGAGAGCCGTCACGACAACAAGCAAAAAAAAAAAGGCCGGAAGGAAGAAACGCCAATGATCCCCAGTGTGAACTTGGACAGTGCAATTGCGAGGCTGAAGGAAAAGAAACTGCCGGACAGCCGAGTAGGGGATGGGGTGCCGGGCTGTTTTTCTCCGCGGCCCACCCACACACGGAGTTGCAGCGTGACAAGCGTCCCACAGGAATTGGACAAAAATGTCACTGAGTTACATGGGCAGGTTGTAGACACCGCGGAGACCCAACCCGAATGGAAACCTGAGAGGTTTTCTTCATCCAACGTCGACAAGAGTTGTTCTGTGCTTAAGAAACAAGGCCTCGTGCCGGATGACTTTTATCGCACTACAGCATCACCCTCCATGTTGTCTGCGTTTGCGGATTCGGAGGGCCATGAACACCATCCCTGTCATTCTTTGCCTAAGGCAACTTTGATTGCTCATCAGAAAGCGCGGAGCTCTTCTGCTACTCTTCGACATGTGTATGCCACAGCAATTTTTGACGACGAGGGTACTGGAAGAACGAGTTCTACAGGATCTTCCGGAGCCACAGATGTCGCGTCTACTTCTGAGAAGTTTGCGCTGCGTGAAATATATGTATCGGGAAAGCCATGGCGACGTGTTGCGGATGCTTACCCCAAATACTTCCGACGTGCCGCTTTGAACATATCAGCTCTTGTGACAAGCAGTTCCGGGGAACATGTTGCCATAGGTGACTGTTCTGGTCGCGTTTTGTTGATGCGTCGCACAAATCAGCAAAGACAACAACAATTAGAAGGCGACAAAAGAGCCTCTGACGAGGGAAAGAGAGGTAGGCTTCAGTATACAAATAAAAATAATTCACACATACAAGGATCTTATGAGTTTTCCGTGGGGCGTAAGGCCTACACCTCCGTCATAGATCCACTGAACAGTGTGGAGGTGACTCCATGCATTCAAGCTCTTTGCTTTTTACCCCAAGTTGGTCCAACCACGTACCTGCTCATGGCGAACGAGAAAATGCCAAAGCTGTTCAAGGTGGTTGAGGTGCGAGAGTCTCCTTTGCCTTTTTCGGCAGTGAATCACATTGGAGAGAAGAATTTTGCCTCACTGACGTTGAACCCACTCGATGTTAGGAGGACGACTGCAATGAAGCAAGTGACTCGTTACGCCCTGAATCATGAGTACAACATCAATTCGCTATGTCCACTGGTGGATAGTGCGCAGTTTTACTCCGCTGATGACCTCACAGTGAAGTTGTGGTGCATTGAACACCCGGACACATCTATAGAAACGTATAGTATAAAACCCCCCTTTGAGGAGGAGGTTCAAGAGACGATATTTTGTATTCGTTGTTTTCCTCACGAGCCGTTTCTACTTTTTATTGCAACAACTGCCGGGACCGTTCGTGTGCTTGACATTCGCCAAAGACTCAAATTATTTCATCAAACGCCATTGGTGTTTAAGAATACATATTTTGATGAGGACACATCTTTTAGCAGCCCACTCACTGACTGTGCGCTTAGTCCCTGTGGGAGGTTTGTGGTTGGACGTGATGTCATGAGTGTTTGTCTATGGGACGTCCGTCGCGATTCCCACTACGGCCGATTTGCAAAATCGGTAACTTCACCACTCCATGAAGAAGAAGAGCAGGATGTGTTGCAGCGATGGGAATTGTACCCACATCTTCGTCGAGACATGGAACAGCTCCTTCAAGGGGATATCATTGAAAAGTTTAGTGTACAATTTTTGAACGGTCGTGAGGTGTGCACAGGTGGTTTTTCCAAAACGTTGTATGTTCTCGATATTCTGAAGGATTCTGTTGCTCCTAGCGACAAAAGGAAGCGTACGCCTCGGTGTAGTAATGGACAGGCATTTCAGTTACCGCAGTTAGATGGGGCAAATGCAGACGCACTTTTTGGTTCTCTGCGCCCGATTGCGATGGACGACGTGCGGTTTTCAGCCAACGAAGACACGGATGCGCTTTTCAGTAACACTGTGACTCAGCTTTCACAGCCTTTGACATCCATGAATGGAGATTGTTCTCTTCTGACATCCTCTGGCCAGGCCATTTTTCAGTTAGCATATAGAAACGTTTATCTTTAAACGCCTTTGATAGCAAAAGAAGCAACACATTTACCACATATATATATGGATGTAAATATATATTTATATCTCACAGATGTGTTACAATTGTGGCGCTTCTGTACATTCGGACTGTTAGAAGTTAAAACCTTGTGTTAACCGTGTTCTCTTTTTTTTTTTTTTCTTTTTTTTCTATTCCCAAAGAATCAAAAGAAGAAAAAGAAAAAGGGACTTCTTATATTCGAAACATTACACTTAACTATTTTGTATGAACACTGGAACTCGTCGGACATCGTCACGCCGGCGCTCAGGCACTCCAAAACGCGACACTGAGACGGCTAGGGAAAAAATATCTCCCGAGGAGTCGTACAATCTTGTGGTAGAAAGGAAATTTACTCCAGAAAAGGACAAGTGGGATGGTCAATATGAATTCTGTGGTCCCTGGGGCGCCCTTGGCATTATGTTACTGTCGCATGTGCTGATATTTTACTTTTTCGTATGCATAGAGAAATTTCAAGGTACAATGATATACCCAGGTCATCCACTACTGCAAGGGGAGAACATGTTGAACGTGTTTTGGGAGTATCTGAGTGTACATGCGACACCGACATGGGAGACGTTTGGCGTCTTTACAGGTTTTTTTCTTCTTGAATACATATTGGCTGCACTGCTTCCCGGTGTGTATGTCAAAGGACTTCCCATTCCAAGTGAAAATGATTACCGCTATGTCTACAGGTGCAATGCCGTTCATGCATGGTATTGTGTCATTCTGTTTGTGGGGGCATTACATTTTACTGAATTGTTTCCTCTCTGGAAGTTGCGTGAGGAATATGGCCGTTATTTGTCCACTGCTACTATATGGGCTGATGCCATATCGATTTGGGTGTATATTTCTGGTCTTCGAAAACAAATTCGCATGTCTCATAATGTTTTTTATGACTTTTTTATGGGATCAGGTCTCAACTTTCGTCTCCCCGGTAATGTGGACGTGAAGTTGTTTGCAGAATGCCGGAATTCATGGGTGTTGTTGATGATTATTACTCTAAGCAATGCCGCTGCGATGTATCGAGAGATTGGCTACGTTACAGGCAACATGTGTTTTCTTGTTTTTGCACAGCTCTTGTATGTGAATGCGATTCAGAAGGGTGAGGAATGTATTATCACTACTTGGGACATTTTTTACGAAAAATTTGGATGGATGCTAGCTTACTGGAACACGTGTGGGGTGCCATTTTTGTATTCCATACAGGCATTATATATTCAGACAATTCTTAAGGATTATTCCTATAAACCATGGCAATTGGCGCTTATGGTTTCGACTCTCATTCCAGCGTACTATATCTGGGATAACGCCAATTCACAGAAGAATCGTTTCCGCATGATGCGTCACGGCGTCCCTAAGTACATCATCCAACGTAGGGCATTTCCGCAGCTGCCCTGGGGACATATTGAAAACCCCCGTACCCTGAAAAGTGAACGCGGTGAACTTTTTGTGGACGGATGGTATCGCTACGGCCGTAAACTTCATTACACGGCTGATCTGGTTATGGCATTTTTGTGGGGTGCGTCATGCGGATTTGACTCTTTCATCCCATTCTTCTACTTTTTCTTCTTTATCAGTCACCTTTTGGACCGCGAGCGCCGTGATGACCACCGCTGCCGTAGGAAGTATGGTGAGCTGTGGGAACGGTACCTGAAGTTGGTTCCGTATAAACTGATCCCGGGAATATATTAAGCTTTAAATGATGTTTTTATTTTATTTTTATTAATTTCAGCCCTTCTAACCTTTATTATTATTGTTATTACTATAAATGATGAAAATAAAGGTATGTGCTCTTCCTTTTTTTTTTTCTTTTGTTATTATTATTACTTTTGTTTGTGATTTTTGTTTTTGTTTTACGCCTTGTTTTTCAGTTACTCGCTCTTTTTTTTTTTTTTTTTTTTTTTTTTTTTTTTTGCGCGTGCGTTCTATTTTTATTCCACTCCCAGATTTGTTTTTTTTTTTTTTTTTTGTTGTTGTTGTTTTGGTTTCCAATTCTACGTATTTATATTTATATTTTTCTATATACGTGTGTGTGTCTGATGGTGCACCAACCCTCGTATATGAACTGTGGGCTGCGTTCACGTAATTCCACACTCGTTAATGAATAATTCTGGGTGGTAACGTCAACTCCTATTATTTGCCTGTTCCGCCGCTCAGACCCCCACGCCCCCACCGTCTGGGGGCCACATGGAATTTGTGCCCTGTGGTTCCAGCGGGTGTTGGTGTGTTGGGCGTGGGTTGTGCGGGGTTGGCGTGGTGCAAAGTGCGGGGGTGAGGGGCGCGTCTGTGAGCAGGAAAGGTCTTTTGAAAGGAGACAAAAAAAAAAAAAGATTGAAAATTTTGACGCTGATGGTTTTAAAGACTTTTTTGAGGCAAAAACGAGCTGAGAGGTGAATGAGGATGAATGATGTTTTGGAGCGAGCATTGACGATGTCAAGTGGATTCTTGCTGCCAAGGAGAGGGAGGGCGGTGGCGGGTCAAAACGTGAAGGGGGCAGAAAAAGCAGAAGGGAATAAATTTTTTTTTATTTCTTTTATTTTTCATTTTATTTTTTAAAGACGGCGTGCGTGTCCCGGAAGTCTGTTAGAAATGTGCGAACAGATGCAGCTCAGTGTATAATATTGCGTCCTGTTCACCTACTCTGCCTTTTTACCCATTATTCGTTTTTTCTTTTCAACGATACCGCGTTGGAGGGCGGCGAGTGCAGTTCCTGTTTCCCTGTGATTCTACCTGCCCCCGCCTTCCTTCGCGTTGAGGAGAATCCGGCGGCTGCGAGGCTCTTGAAGGACTGTCGCTTCGTCCGCTCACAACGAGCCCGGTTATGGTGGCGTATGCTCGTTGATTTCACTTGTTTTTGGGTATTTAAGTGCTGGATGAGCCTCAACCGAATTTTGGGGATGTTGGGTGCATTGAGCCAAACTGCAATATCATTTTTTTTTTTTTTTATTTTACGCTTTTTCTTCTAGGAATATTGAACAAGGCCTCATTCGGGCGTATATTTGATTGGGCGTTGTATTAAAATTAGGCTTTTTTTTTTCTCTGTTTGTGTGTATGAGTTCTTTATGATTTCTCTTCCTCTTTCTCTCTGCGTGTGCGTGAGGGAGACGGGGAATATGATGAAACAAACGGTGAATGGGGTGTTCTGTGAAAAAAAAAAAAACAAAAAAAAAGAACGCAGAGAGAAGGAAAGCAATAAAAACGGAATTGGGGCAAAAGACAAAAAAGAGGGCTCCGTGGTGGTTTACACGACTGCAAATGAACATGAAAAAGAGGGAGGGTACAAGGGCTTGAGCGAGCGAGGCTCTGCATGAAATATATATACATATATATATATAACATGGATTGATTTTCAACAAAAGCAAACAAATATTTGGTGTTAAAGGAGAAACTCGCATGTATGCAAAATCGACAGTGCTGTTGGTTGTATTTTTATCTGTGTATATTCGTATGCGCGACCATGAAAATTTATGCATGAATGCGTTTCCCCTTCTTGGTAATTGTTATATTTATTTATATATTTATTTTTTTAATAGGGCCTTGTGAATAGAATGATCGCGTGAGAGCTGGCTAACTTAGGCAGTGTATATATGTACCCTGATAAAACGAATACAATTCCTTGCGACACCCTTTTGTCTTATGAATCTTGGGAGGCCACGACTTTAGGGGAGTAGGGAAGCGATAGCGGCAATATAACTTTATTTTAATTTTTATTTTACCGTCCCACCCGCCCTCTTTTGATTCCCATCCTTGCGGTGGGGTCTTGTGGCTGGAGGATCCCAAAGTCTGCTATTTCGCAAGTAATAAATATTTACATACATACATATACCTAGGTGTGATCCAAAAAAAAAAAAAAAAAAATGCTGCGGCGTAGCGCTTTGGTGGCGGACAGTTTCAAGGAACACTACCACCGTGTCCATCTACCGAGACGGTTAGCGTTGCAGCGGTACATCCGCCAACAGACACTCCGAAAGCAGGCAAAGGCGGAGCCGGAGGTGCCGTACAAATACAACCGCTGGTGGGTAAATGCCGATCATGAATTTGTGCACCAGCACGCCTTTGTCGAGGACCCGGAGGTGACAAGGGCCAAGCGTGAACTGCTGCCACCCGTGACGAAGGAGAACATTTGGAAAGACCCTCAAAAAACATTCTTCATGCCGTTCGCGCCGTACATTCGTGTCGTAGACTACCCGAAGGATCCAGATTCGAAGTTTATGAAACCGGTGAATGTTCCTCGCTGGAAAGACTACATGCAACGCACAAAACCTGTCGTGCCGCGGACGTGGTACTAACGAAGGGCGGCCCACCAAGAAAAAAAAAAAACAAGGAATGAAGAGTTCTGCAAGGGAAAAAAACATGCACCTTTTTTAGATTTTTAATGAGCTTTTGAAGAGGATGTTCACGGGGCACGCGGGCTATATAATGTAACGTATCCTGATACGACGAGGGAATTTCTTTACGAATGCTTTTCTATTATATAACTCTTTCGTTAACCGCGATGAAAGGAGTCAGGGAGCCGATAACGTTTAGATGATTTTAAACTATTTTATTATTTTTACGGTCACAGAAGTTCGCTGCAATTTATTTTAGCGAAATGGTACGGATTACTTTTGTACGGCGACGGAGTTAATTGACATGGATGCCAGTACGGCGATGTCCGGGTGCAGCTCACTTTTATCGATGAACACGGGTCGTTGGATGCGGTGGTAGCCGCCTCCACAACAATGACAGGCTTACGCTTGGTTTCAGGAGACATCGCCATGCACTGGGAGGATACGATGTATTGCGGGAAGTATTGCGAGTCTCCGGACGCCTCAAGTACCAAAATTCGAGGCACAGTTGCTCCTGCCTATCGTGTGCGGGCTGCCCGGGGGTTGTGGGTCCAGCAAGGGCTGACCATTGCTGAAAGAGCGTAGACTGAACACCGACCACGCCAACGCCGTCGCCGACGCTCGGAATCGGCGTGCGCAGCTTTACTCGCAGGTGGAAGAGGCGCATAATTACTTGTCGGCGCGCGAATGTCACATTGCGGTGGCCGGCGGTCCTCTTGCAGGACGCGGAGACGCCGTGCCAACGAGAAGCGCCCACCTCTCGGAGAGGGCCGCCAGATGAGCCCCCACGCATGCATGCGCGACGATGGCGTCAGCACACGGCCACACCAACCGCATCGTTGATGGCTGGGGGCGTGCCAGCATCCACGTTTCCCTGACGCACTCTCACGGGAGAGAGACGGCGGGTCAACACCCATACGTCTCAGGGCAATGTGGGGAGACCACATCTCCCTCACTCGATTTCTTTGCCTTCCCGCGCTTCCCCCTTGGAAGATGACTCCGGTCCAGAGAATCAATTACTGCATTTTCTTGCATTCGACGTCACCACTTGGGTCCCGCGTATATGGAACGAGGGCGTCTCCGGTGTCCTCCTCGTAGACCCCCGATGCGCATACAGTTATTATTGGCAATAAATGGACGCTCAGGTTCAAGTTGCCTTTGACGGTTTGGTATCGTGCAGGCGCGCGCTGGAGATAGCTCGGGATCCCACCGATCAGCTCATGGATTTTGGCAGGGCCCTACTGCGGAGCTTCCGGATGCAGATCATGATGGCGTCCGACCCCGGCATCCCGCTCCCCAAACTTCGCGACCGCCTTCACATGGCTGTTCATGGGGCTGACACCTTCGCGAGGGCAACCCAGCCTCTCGTGTAACGGCGAGCTACCCAACAACAACGACTGTTGCGATGCCGATTGTGTCGCATTTGTGGACACGACGCATCTGCATGCAACGTGCGCAGCGCAGCCAGAAGAAATGACTTGCAGCACGGACGGCCGCCAAAAAACGGCGAGGGGCTGCCGGCCGCTTATGAAGGCGGAAGAAGGCAGCCCCATCCCTTCCTGTATGGCGTCGCACCGCACCGCCGATGCTCCGCCCGATCTCTCAAATTGCCCGACGCAATCGTCGACAAGGGCAGTGGAGCTTATCCGCCAACGACGCTCGACTGTGGTACGAAGAATCACCGACATCTCCGCTTTGGGCCGGCCATATGAGGAGCGCGAACGAGTAGGCTTGAGAAATGTGTGCGCTGCCAAGGAAGGAGCAGAGAATGTCACTAGCGGGGCAATTTTCATTTTTTTTGTGCTTTGCTGCACGCACGAACAGCCGATGAACGAGGAGAGCTGCGCGGCCTTTTTGGTGGCAATATTAGATGTGGCGCCATCGACCCGACAGCAGCACGCCAGGATGCTGCGGTCCATAGTGTAAATAAATTCAACCCCGCTGGACATGGTGATTCTGGGGTCACGAAGAATTGCGGCGCGACCCGAGACGAAGCAGGCGCGCCCCTTGACAGAGGAAGAGAGGGATGAATTTATCCGCGGCCGAGCCGATTGGAAGCAACGTGTTGTTTTCTGAAATGCGTGGATAACGACAAGCCGTTTTTCCGGGATTGCGGCCTTGACACCCAACAATGTCACGCTGGAGCCGGACGGGACCGTAATTTCTGATTGGTCCGTGGCGTCGAAGACGGCGAAAGCGGATCCCCACCGCGCCTCGCGGTTCGTCGGGATACGAGGGCAGGATGCATTGGACACTATAACGTTATGCAGGACACTTCAACACAACGAAAAGCTCACGAATCTTACGACTGCCCAAGTCTAACGCACTCTGGCTCCTTGGAATGCCACGGCGCATCCCACAAAACGGGGTGCGTTGCGGCACGCGGCTCAAATCGTGGAGACATACAATTTGGACCCACACGTGATCTCGCAGTTGGCGAAGCACTTCGACCCGTTTGACCTTCCCCAGAACACAGTGCGATATTTGGGGCGGTACACAACACTGCTGACCCAGATGTCGTCATTGATCGCATTTTTGTAAAGGGAGAAGCTGCTGAAGCGCAGAAGCCCTGGCTGAGAGCAGCGGAGCGTTTTTTCATGATCTTTATCACAATCATGCTGCTACAATAGCGAGACGCGCGACAAGGACGCGTCTGGCCACTCCACAAGATGAACACGCTATCCCGTTACAGCAAGTCAGCGTGCCCGTATTGAATCCAGAGCGGATCAGGGGCCGGTTGAACCCGGCTACCTTGGAGAGAGTCGTGCAAGCATGGGGACTCGTTGGGCGGCCCCTTTTCCTTTGTCCTTATCCGGTAAGCGCGCGGACGCTCACGGAGGATTCCAACCGCTGACGCGAGAGTGTTACGAAAAGCAGGAATAATCGAGGACGCTTCGTCCACAATAACAGGCGGATGGATAATACCTTTCTCAGTTGTGGAGGAGAAAACCACCGGTTTGAGACGAAGATGGATCGCGTGGCCACACGACAAGAACAGAGACGACCCTTACGAGGCGAATTTTCCTCCTTTACACATTTTCCATTATTTGCCGCCTGTGATGGCTGAGGCCGCTTCCTGCCTGGAATTAAAGGCATCCTTTTTCCGGTCTTTGTTGCTGCGGGGACTCGGCATCTCTTTCGATGCCGCGTGGAGGACGGCACGCTGGTGGAGCTCACACGGCTCCCTATGGGATACAAGGCCGTCCCAGAAATTCTCCAGATGATTACCTTGGCAATCGCCGGGCTGACGACGGTGGTTCGCTCCCTCTGGGCTGCACCTCCATTGGTGCGTGTCGACGTATGGATCGATAACATACGAATTGCAGGGCCGAAAAGCGGTGTGACATTGTGGGAAGCCCAAGTGCTTCGTAATGCGGACAGTTGCCACGCCACGATATGGGAAGATCGCGAATTGGGCGCTACGCAGTACATCTTTCTGTGGGTGCTGTTTGATCATACTCACGCCGGGCGGTGTCCCTGAGTGACAAGTTTGTCCGGTGTGTATGCGCCATGCCGTCGCTGAAATCTTTAACCATAGCGGAAATGGAGGTTCTGGCGTCACGGTTTTTGTACGCGGCGGCCACTTTGGTTCAGGCGTTTATTTGACTACTGCTTTCAAATCAAGGCAGTGCGACGACGATTATTGGCACCTAACCAAGGGATTGTGCTGGAGACATCCCCGGCGAACCTTCCACCGGCAGCGGTTGGTTTGGGCTAGAGGTTACGACACACCATCGAGAATATAATCGTAAGCGAATCATCAAGCCCACGGAAAGGCATCGGCTGCCATCATCACGGGTGTATCGCTCCATGGATGAGGAACAGTTTTTATTCAAGACTCCGGCGACGTTGAAATTGCCGGATGAAAGTGGGAGAGGAAGCCTTTTCTTATCATGCAGGCCGAGGCGCGCGTGGTACGCTTAGCCTTATCGGCCTTTTCCGCCATCTTGCCATCCACCATGGACATTTTGGTGGACAACACTTCGCCGCAAGGAGCGGCGAATAAAGGCAGCTCAAAATCACACGCCATGACGTGGGGGCCGCAACGGATGTGTTTGTTGACTCTCGCGGAGTGCGGGCAACTTTTGCCTACGTACGGTCTGCAGAAAACCCCGCAGATGGCGTGTCACGCGGTCGTGTTTTACACTTCAGCACTTGGCGAAGGAGGAGAAGTGGCGAAGGGCAGCGGCGGTTTCTTGTGGCTGGATGAGCCCCAGGTCTTCCACTTCGTAACGTATAAAAATAGATATATCGAATCCGAATGGAGTGAGCGGGCCACAATTGTGGCTAATGGATGATGTATGTAAATATACACTTACTTGGTGTAAACTTTTAGAATGCGGTGAACCCACTTGTTTTCATCTACTTCTCATTCCGTCCTGTTTGACTTCTATTATTGGTAGCCTCAGGATGAGGAAAGCGGCCCAGTGGATATTCACTTTTTGTCGCCGCGTGGAGTGACGCACCACTTCTCATTGGGTGCGGGATGGCAGTGAAATTTTGTGTGCCGCGTCATGGATGGATGAGGCACCACTTCAACGTGTGGCTGGCGTGGTGGGTGCTCGCTCGGGGTGCGTTGTGTGTTGGATGCGGGGATGTGGCCGTATCCCGTTGCCCGTGAGAATGTTCTGGAGGCGGTGGCGGTGTGTGCGTTTGTTGTGTGGAGGGCCGAACCCTCTCACCCGCGGACTGACAGCACTGCGGTGTTTGTGTGCTTCAGCGGCGTTGTGCGAGCATGTCCTCTTTTAGAGTTTGTGTGATGGCGGTGCCACAGGGGTGTGGGACCGTGACCAGCGGAATGCGTGGGCGAACCCTCCGTGCGCACCACGTTGTTGTTGTTGGCCCTCTCCAACACTGTGCTGGGTGGATGGTGCTCGCTTGCCGTCGTTGCGGTGGTCTCCGTGCATGTGGTGTGCGTCACGCTGTGTGGATGACTCTATTTTTGTGGCTGCTGGTCATATCCGTGCGTATCTCATTTCTTTCTTATTCCCCTTTTGATTGTTTGTTAGTGTTCAGTTTTAACTCGATCCAGCTAAGAAAATAAGGAGAAACAATGCCTTCAAAGCGCAATAGAGTGCAAGGTGGCAATGCCAAGGGCCGAGCGTCTGTTGTGCCACAGGGAGATTCTCTTAAGAGAGCGAGGTCGGACCTTGAGGGTGACACAGCTCAGCTCGCTGCGACTCCCATAAGAGTGGAGGAAGCGCAACTACGGTGGACCATGTGCAGCTACGTGAGCGACATCCTGCTGGACGGAGAGACCGACATTTCCGATATGAAGCTGAATGCTTTTCTTCGGGAGCATTTTGGCTCCAGGGCGGCCGTTAGAAAAAGGAAAGTGGATATGTGGGACTTTTTGAGGAGTCCCGATGCCTACATAAAAGACCAGCAGCTGCTTGAAGAAATTTCTAATTTAAAGGATTATCAGCTTTTAACAGATAGGCGCAAGCTTACGGAAGGGAGTGTGAACTTTCTCGAAGACTGGATTGAATTTAAAGAGAAGGCTACTGTCACTCCTCTTACAAGGAAAAAACTTACCGATGCCCTCACTCAGATACAGAAAGAAGTAGCAAAGTGGGAGGAAGAAGAAAGGGCGAAGCGGAGGGCAGAAGAAGATGTGATGCAGGATACTGAAGAAAAGACAACCCAGCTGGAGGGATTCTACGAGTCTGTGTACGGTGCGAAGTGGGGCCATGTCTTGGGGTTTTATGACAAGAAAATTTGTGAGGACCGAATGGAGGTACGTGAGGGAAAACCACCGCAGTCATGGACGTACAAGAAGGAAGGTCTAATTTTCGAAAAGGATGACGGTGTGGAGCAATTCAGCCCGCCACGTCCCAGGCTGATGGTGCTCACCTCGGACAAGGGATGGCCGTACTCGTGGAGGGAGAATAAACCCATTGTTGACTGCTATGTGAACTGTGAGGTGGATCGAGTGTGGCGGATTGTCAAGGACGATCTAAAAGGCTTGTCTGGCCCTCACGGTGTGTACCGCCCCACGCTTAGGGAGCGTCTCTTGATTGGAACGCCCGGGATCGGGAAGTCGATGAATGCCGGCTCGTACCTTCTCTATCAGCTGCTGCACTGCGATGCCGAGGAAATCAAATTGGTAGTCCACTGTTTTGGAGAGGGTGAGGCCTACGTCTTTGACAAAACCGCCAAGAAGGTGACAAAATACGTGGGTAGTAAAGCATCCGAGAGTGTTGTGTCGAGTTTGCCGCAGTGTGGGGTGAAAGGGTATATAATCTACGATGTGCCAACGAATGAGGTACAGCTGCCGATAATTTTTGAGCCTCATACCGGATGGGGCACGATTGTGCTGGCATCCCCAAAGGTAAGGAACATTAATGAGTTTGTGCGTCAACGAGTTTCCCACCTAATCATCATGAATTACCCCGACGAGATGGATATGAAGGCGATGTGTGCGTGGATGACGCACGATGAGACTCCACAGGAGCAAGAGAAATACTGGTGGATGGTCCGCCAGCAAATGGGTTTTCTGGGACCGATTCTGCGTTACATCTTTGATGCGAAAGAATTCAGTAAACGCTATAATGAACTTGATCGTGTCTTGAGATCGGTAAAATCCCGAGATGATGCAAAGCGCATTACGCATGGAGGAATGACGGCATGGTTTACCGAGAATTCGTTTTGCAAACTTATGTGTGTTAAACGAGAAAGAGGAGTATTTGGTACCGAGGATTTTAGGACCGACTTATTATCTCGTCACGTTGGGCGTCGAGTATTTTTCTTTGCGCAAAGGATAGCCCCCTTGAATGAGATTTGTAGTCTTCAGTAACGAGGAGTAAGAATGCTCTTTGCGTCTGTATTTGTGGAGAGATATGCTTTGGACGCATTCAGGAATGAGGCCTTTTTCAATAAAATAGCAGAGAAACTCAAGGAGCTGAGGCCGCCAGCACCCCGAAAGCCACTGAACACCGTGCTGAGGGTGACTCCGGAGGACATCCCACCGAGCCGTTTGGATTGTTTCCATTGCAACGCGGACCTAAGAAGATTGATGTAAGGGACCGGTGGACAGAGAAATTTCCGCTGGTTGGGCTGCGGATAACTACGGCGTGTCGACATCACAGGAGCGCCAGCACTGTGAGGCGGTTCACTGAGTATCCGGCGGCGTGTTTTGATGGGTGGGAGGAGTTATCCCGAGACATGTCGTGGGAGTTTATTTACGTGCAGCACGCAGGCATTGTGCTGATGGGTGGCTGGCAGAGACGTGATGTCGTCAATTCCAATGTAGTGAGCGAGGAGGAGAACCAAGAAAGTCTGAGTTTCTGGAAAAAAAACGTACACCAGTACCAAGCGTCAATACCATCTGGAGTTTTTAGAAGAGGCGAGGCTTCTCCGAAGTGAGGAAAAAACAACAAATAGGAAAACAAGACAAATTGGGGAATGAAAGGGATAGTTTGGTATCTGGTGAAAAAAATATTGGGGTATTTTTATATAGTTGGATGCTTTTGTTTCAATGCGGTGCGGGTGCACCAGCACCAGGTGGCATTAAGGCACACAGATGCCAAGAATGTCCAACGCTATCGAACATAACAGTGACGGAATAAATTAGGGAGGGAGTGGGGTTGTTTTGGTTTTGTTTTTGCTTTTTTGCTGACAAACATTGGGTGATTTTCATATATTATGTTAATTGTGTTTGTGCATACGAGGCACAATCGGAGAATTGCTCTCTTGTGGTAGATTCATTGTGGCTAGCGGTGCCGCAGTATTGCTGCATTTTCCATTTTAATTTTATTTTGTTGTAGGGCCCATCACAAACGGAAACATATTTAAGGGATGGACGAAATATAACTTCCTTTGGAGAAATAGCGCACTCCGTGTAACGGCACTGAGTGAGGCGCCGCATTCCATTGAAGGCAGGATGGCTGTGTAAATTTTGGTGCCGCGTGACTGGTGGATGGGTGAGGGTCCACTTCAACGTGTGACTGGCGTGGTGGGTGCTTGCTCCGGGTGCGTTGTGAGTTGGCTGCGGGGATGTGGCCGTATCCCGTTGCCCGTGAGAATGTTCTGGAGGCGGTGGGTCTCTTCTCGTCGTCCATGGCGGGTGGCTGCTGCCGGTGCGCACTGGTTTCCCTTGCAACTCGCTGTGTTTCTCCTCCATGACTTTTTCCATTTCCTTCACACACGAAAAGGAAGTAAAACAAGCGCGAATCGCTACTGTGCACCCTGAGGGCTCTGAAAGGAACAACAACAGTACACACCGCCCACACACACGTATTTATATACTCTCAAGCGTTGCTGCTGTGAAGGCACCCCGCACACACAACCGTACTCGCGTGACCGGATCCGGCGAAAGGAGGGAGGAAGGAAGAGAGGGTGGGCATCAGAGGCCCAACATGTCCCGGCATCTCTTCCATTCCGCGGTGCTGCTTCTCGACGTGTTATGCGGCAGTGGGGCTGCACACACTGTGCAGACGAAGACTGACGTTGATCCATTCACAGGGATCGGATGGACATCCTCTCAATGGGAAGCCCCTACAAAAGTTAATGAAAAATTATTCTCGCTCCGCGTTCCCAGCCTTGTTGAGGTGAACAATAACGTGTTCTTCGTTGCTGAAGCGCTGTGCAAGGAAAAAGGAGAAAGCTGCAGCCGTACTGGGATTGCGTCAAGGCACCTCGATCTAACTGATGATAAGCCAACGGAGATATTGACGGAGGACGCAAGTTTGGTGGTGCAGTTTCCAGAGGGTGTTGCGACGGGTACCGTCGAGGCAAAGGACACAATGCGGCCAACGACAGTTGTTTCTGGCGACAATGTCTACATGCTTCTGAGAAATCAGAGCGTTACACCGTCGGTGGGTAAATTGGCTACTGCACGTGACTGGGGGCTTTTGCTGGTAAAGGGAAGCGTCAGTAGTGGCAATGTAATCACGTGGAATGAGACTCATGCGGTGACGTTTGGAAACGATGAATATGCTGCTAAATTCCTGACCCAGTTGGTTTCTGGCGGAGGATCGGGGATTAAGACGAAGGACGGTACACTTATGTTTCCCCTGCAGGCCACAGAGAAAGGAAACACTTCATTGCTGTCCATGCGCTTTGATAAGTCAGAGAATAAATGGAAGCTTTCGCACCAAACGGATGTTGATGGCTGCAGGGACCCGACCATCGTGGAGTGGGGAGAAGAAGACAGACTCCTCATGATGGCTTCTTGTGAGCGAGGTTACCGTGACGTGTACGGATCCACTGTGAGTGGGCGGAGTTGGTTTCCATATGGTGAGACACTCGCTCGCGTGTGGGGCGACGCACACAATCGAAAGGGGCACGGTGTCCAGAATGGCTTCATCAAAGTGACAATTGAGGACAAGAATGTGATGCTCGTCACCCTGCCAGTGTATTCCAAGGACAACAGAGAAAGCAATAAAGAAAAGGGTCGGCTCCACCTTTGGCTGACGGACAAGGCACGTGTGTATGATGTTGGGCCGATATCCCGTGAGGCTGATGACGCTGCCGCGAGCTCCCTTTTGATGAGGAGTGGGAATGAAAAGTTGATCTCAGTGTACGAAAACAAGAAGGGTGATGACGGGTCATACACTCTTGTCGCCGTGAGCCTGGGGAAGCAGCTGGAGCGGATCAAATCCACGGTGAAGAAATGGAAGGATTTGGACAGCGCCTTGCATTCATGCCGTTCCGGTTCCAGCGCCACTTTCGACTTGCCAACGAAGGGTATGTGCAATGGTCCTGTTCCCACTGATGGGCTTGTTGGCTTCTTGTCTGGTAACTTCTCTGAGAACACATGGAGTGACGAGTACCTCTGCGTGAATGCAACTGTGAAGAATGGGGAGAGAAGGGTTCCCAATGGATTGACGTTCCAAGGGTCTGGGGCAGGGGCGGTGTGGCCTGTTGGTGACATGGGGCAGACTGTTCCTTACTACTTTGCTAACAACAAGTTCACTCTTGTGGCGACGGTGTCTATCCACGAGGTGCCGAGGGAAGACAGCAGCCCCATTCCTTTGGTGGGTGTGAGGATGAATGACACCAGCAGCACGGTGCTCTTTGGTCTGTCGTACACCCACGAAAAGAAGTGGAAGTTCACACTTCCCAACGGAACTTATGGAGCTTACGAGGATGATGAACACTATGAATATTACGAAGGTAAGTATAATTGGCAACCAAACAAAACATATCAAGTAATGCTGCAAATGGATGCCAAGGAGTGGGATGTGTACGTTGACAGAATGCGGGTTTATTCTGGGGAATACGACTGGAATCTGTTTAAAGATCACAGGGTCTCGCACTTCTATTTTGGCGCGGAGAATAAGGAGGGTTCGGAAAACAGCCACGTGACGGTGACCAACGTCCTGCTGCACAACCGCATAATCTATGGACGTGAAATTGCGAAACTCAGAGCCAGCAAACTCTCTATTCCAAACCCTGGTGAGGAGTTCCTCACTGAGAAAGAGGAGGAAACACCATCATCACCTGAAGAGGAGGAAGCAGAGCAGGAAGTTGAGGAGGCGCTTCCACGGCCAAAATCATCCGTGGAAGCTTCTGAAGGCAGTTATGCTGCCGCAGTTTCTTCTGGGGGCCGTGGCTTTCACGGAACAAGGGAGGAGGAGACGGAGACGGATGGCAACAGTGGATCGGCGTCTCCACCGGCCCCATCGAGTGTGAGCACTGCCTCTCATTCGGGCGACGAAGGGATGAGTGTCCGTGAAGGCACCTCTCTGCAGGAAGAAGTGCCACCACCTTTTGGGACCGAAGACATTCCGAAGGCCGACGTGGAGCGACCGATCTACGAAGAAGAAGCGACCTCTCCGGAATGGGCCACTGAGCGGCAGACGCAAGAAACCAATGCGCCTTTGGTTGAAAATGGAGACGGTGAGGACGTTGGCACCGCACCGGGTAATGCAAGCATCCTGCCTGGGGAGACCAAGATACCATCGGAGTCCAACGCAACACCGCTCTCGGACCATGGCATTTTGCCTGAGCACGGGCATTTGAGCGACTTGTCGGGCATGGCTCTATTTGCTGAGAGCACCGTGCATGGGTGTGTGTCTCGGGTGCTGTTGCTGCTGCTTCTGGGGCTGTGGGGCACTGCGGCTCTTTGTTGAATAAATTTGGGGAGAAAAATTGCAGAATTCTGTGGAGCAACAACTGAGCGGCATTCCAGCAGTACTCAATGAGTTTTGTCAAGGATTCTTTCTCTTTTTTATGTTTTTTTTTTTTTTTTATGTTTCTTTTTTCTGTTTTCTTTTTCTTGCTGGTGCTCTGCTGAAATAATCAGCACCCCTGTTTGTGTGTTTTCCCCAAAAAACGGTCGCCTGCTGCAAACCGTCATGCGTGACGTGCTTCTCCCTCTTTTGCTTGCTTTTTTTGCCCACACGCGGTGCCGGCCTCATTGTTGTGCGTCCCACGGACTGCACGAAATGAGGATTGGAGGAGCAGGCCGGATGCCGCATGGAATGTGAGGGATGTTGTGTGGGCTGGTTGGAGAGTACAATTCCTTTTTTTATGTATGAGCGGGCAGTATGTATAAACTCAAAAACACGGTTGCATTGTGCTGCATGGCACATGAAATGACATATCTGCCGAGTCAATTGTTTTTTCTTTTGCTTTTTTTTGGTTCTTTTTTCATTTTTCATTTCTTTTTGTTTCGGTAAATCACTAGAGTCTCTTTTCCGTCTATGCCGTGTCCCATGTCACTTTGTGTCTCCGTGTCCTGTTGACTGTCCCTCTGCCGGCTGTGCTGCTGGCATGCCTCCATTTCTTCTTCTTTCTTTCCTGCTAGAGGCACCGATGGTCCGCGACGACGATTGTTTGTGCACCCCTCTGTGCGATGCCACGAGGGTGACTGGGCGCCTGCCTGCTGAGTGCACTCGGAGGAGGCGGATGGTGTGCGCCGTACCTCAATTTTGAATGTGGGACGCCACCCGCCACGACCCGCTGCGAGGCGCAGCGCTATTCCGTCGCGGCGGAGAGGAGTGAAGGACCGCGCCGTGGACTTGTATGCGCCCGTCGCTCTCGTTGCGGCCTTGTGTGTGTGTGTGCTCTGGATGCCCAAACCCACTGGCTCCGCAAATGCGGCAACGGAAGGATGTGGTTGCGTGGAGGCGCCAATGCCACTTGAATCAAACCGTGCCTGTGGCACACACGCAAACAGGAAAGCGAAAGGAAGGATTATTCGTCTGGGCTGCTGGCCGGATCCCCAAATTTCCGAAGGAAATAAAATACGACGGAAAGGGAGAATGAGTAAACGGAGAGGCAGTGGGTTCGCCAAATCTTCGTTGTTTGCTCCGCATATATGTGTATATTTATATATTCTGGTGGCCCCACTCTCGCGACATGTTGAACGCTCTATTCGGATACACCTATTGTATAGCTTACGAAGTGGCGGACTTTGGGCCTCTCCAGCCACAAGACCCCGCCGCAACGGTGGGAATCAAGAGGGGGCGGACGGTACGGCAAAAATAAAAATATTCATCTTGACGTTATCGGTTCCTTTGGTTGCTTCCATCGCGCTCCTCTTAAAGGAGTTCATGCGAATAGGAAGGAATATTAGAGAAATATGTCCTTGTTTCATTGGGAGCTTTGTGAGGAGGATGCTCATGAAGGTGGGCTGGCGTCCCCTAATGTATGTGTGTCCTGGGTAAACGGAGATATTTCTTCACGATCCTTTTCTATTTTGTGAATCCTTGGTTGACCGCGATTGAGGGAATCAGGGAACTGTTGGCGTCCAGACGATTTGTAATTATTTTAGTTTTCACAGCCACAAGGGATCCCTGCAAGCTGATTGAAGGAAATGGCAGTGTTTTCTTTTACACGGCGACGGGGAGAAGCGACATTGGAGCCTGCATGTTGGACCTGGCACGCCAGTACGGCGATGTCCGGGTGCAGCTCGCCTTCGTTGATGAACACGGGCCGTTGGATGCGGTGGTAGCCGCCTCCACAACAATGACAGGCTTACGCTTGGTTTCAGGAGACATCGCCATGCACTGGGAGGATACGATGTATTGCGGGCACTTTGCGAATCGCCGGGCGCCTCAATTACCTAATTTCGAGGTTCGAGTGCTGCTGCCCATCGTGTGTGTGCTGCCCGGGGGTTGTGGGTCCAGCAAGGGCTGACCATTGCTGGAGGGCAGAGACTGAGCACCGACTACGCCAGTGCCGTCGCGGACGTTGCGGATCGGAGTGCTCAGCTTCACTCTCAGGTGGAAGAAGCGCATAATCACTTGTTGGCACGCGGATCTCACATTGCGGTGACCGGCGGTCTTCTTGCAGGACGCGGAGACGCCGTGCCAACGAGAAGCGCCCACCTCTCGGAGAGGGCCGCCAGATGAGCCCCCACGCATGCATGCGCGACGATGGCTTCAGCACACGGCCGCATCAACCGCATCGTTGATGGCTGGGGGCGTGCCAGCATCCACGTTTCCCTGACGCACTCTCACGGGAGAGAGACGGCGGGTCAATACCCATACGTCTCAGGGCAATTTGGGGAGACCACATCTCCCTCACTCGATTTCTTTGCCTTCCCGCGCTTCCCCCTTGGAAGATGACTCCGGTCCAGAGAATCAGTTACTGCATTTTCTTGCATTTGACGTTGCCACTTGGGCACCTCATTTATTTTGTATTGGTGGTGTTACTCTCTCCTTCCTTTCTTTTTATTTTTATTTTTTGTTTCCCCCGCATATTTTACTCCTCCCATTCCTTTCGTATTTCTTTACGCCGTGGCAGCAGAAGGAGGGGGAGGGGATTGAAGAAGGAAGGAGATGAACTTGAGAAGTTTGGTGCCATCTGACAAGCAGCTGACGGAGGAGCAGCAGAGCCACATCCAGAACCTGCAAGACGAAATCGACGAGATATGGAGTCGTCGTGGGGACTACAAGATTGACGACAAGGCATGGGAACACATGCCGCTTTTCATGGACACTATTACAGAGAAAGATATGCAGAAAAATGCGGATTGTGCTGCTCTTGCTAGTATTGCCTACGACGAGGTACCCCCAGAGGATATTGCGGAAAGCAGGAAGCAACATGGCAACAGGGCCATTCAGCTCGCCCTCAATCCGGAGCAGGTGAACAAGGAGAATCTCGCTCGCGCCGCAGTCCATTCCTACACGGAAGGCCTAAATGCGAAATGCAAAGATCCTATTCTGAATTCGCAACTGTATGCCAACCGAAGCCTTGCGCAGTACATCATTCAGAACTATGGACATGGTCTTGAGGACGCACAGCGTGCCATTATTCTGAACCCGGATTATAGCAAGGCATACTATCGTGCAGCGCGGTGCGCGGAGCGCGTCAAAAAGTATGATCTTGCTATTGACCTCTTGTCAAAGGGACGGTGCACAAATCCACCACCGGAAGGGATCGCATTGGAGGAATTTGAAGAACTGGAACGTGTGTGCCGTGAAGGGATGAAAAAATTTCAAAAAAAAGAAATGAAGGATAGCATTCGCACACGGGTGAGGGCGGCGGAAACATCTAGTTTAATGCGTGCACTTACATCTTATGGCATTCGTTTGTCACCCACGCCGGAGGTGAGTAGTGAACAGATGGGGGTGTATGGTCAACACCAGCCATACTTTGACGCAGTTGGTTTGCTGCACGTGCCCATCCTCTTCATGTACGATGAATACCAGCAGACGGACTTTATGCAAGATGTCACGTGTGACGTCAGCACGGCAGAACTCCTTGACGAAATAATGCCGTTCCCCTGGGATGATCGTGGTCGCTATCGTCATATGAATGAAGTTGTTGTTTTCTTTAAGATAGACGATGGAGTAAAGATGGCGGAGTACTACGAGGTGGATCTGTCATGGCCGCTTATGGAAGTATTCCGCTCCGAGTCGTATAAGATGCCCATGTTGCTTCCGGTGCTCCACGTTGTCTGCAGAAGCTCCGAACTGCTTCAGCATTGGAAGCCCCAGAAGCCACGGTAGGGGCCTTTCCTATACTCTTTATTATTTTGGTTTTTTTTTTGTTATTATAACGAACCCTACACATATTCGAGTTAAATCGGCAAGATTCCCCCAGTCATGGTGAACAAGTGACCGAAATAACAGAGGAGAATACGAGCAGTGGGGTCAAACCGGAATACAAGAAACGCAAAGAAAAGATTAATGGAATTGGAAGCAGATGGCGAGGAAATGACAATCCTGAGGAGCAAATAACATTTTCCCAAAGGAAAATAATAATAAAAAAAGGAAGAACTTTATTGTAGAATTCTCTTTAATGGTATACACACATATATATTCTAGATATTGCTGTTTTTTTAGGTTACTTCCTTTTGCTTTACGTTCAGGAGGGAACTCTGAGTGAAGGAGCAAGGGCTGCTTTGGAACTTTCAAACATCTAAACAGCCACGTTGGGTGGAAAAGTATAACGCTGCAAAAGGGTTAGAGGGAGCAGGAGGGTGTTTACAGTCAGCAACCACCGACGATGCTGCTTGGCTTTCCCTCCGAGGTGTGGATTACAATGACCGTGGAGTTTGCGGAACGGCTTGGATTCTACGGAACTACTTTTATGCTCATGACGTACTGCACAATTATGCTGCGTTGGAGCACGAGCGCCGGGAATGCTCTTATCAACGCTTTATACGCCCTCACACCGTTGTCTGCATGCGTTTCTTCTAGTGTATCAGATGGGCGGTGGGGTCGACCGTACTCCCTTGTTGTTTTCTTGACAACGTATGCGGTTGGTTTATCGATGGTGGCTCTTTCTTCGTTTCCCCTTATGTACGGTGAATTTCCACTGGATCCATCTGTTCTTGGCGTTGCTTTGTTTGCTACGGGTATTTTGCTTTTTGCGTTAGGTTACGGTGGGATGAAGGTGTGCACGAATCCGCTTATGGCCGATTGCGTCTCGGATGCCTACAAAGATAACGAGACACAATGCCAAGTGGTGCTTTCGCAACTTTTTCGTTGGATTTACGCCATAACAAATAGTGGATCTCTTATTGGCATTATTGTGCCCCCGCTACTGCGGTCCTTGGATGGGCGAAGTGTTGTGATGGGATCCGTGACGCACACAACGGGTTATTACTTTGGATTTTCATTGTCGGCGGTATCATCTATATTGGGGCTATCGCTATTTGTCATGATGTATCATCGTTTTCGTCGTAACGAGCCTTCGCCCTCAACTGTGCTGCTACGCACTTTTTTTCGTGCCATTTTCATACGGTGGTGCTTTGCTGTGGGGCGTATTCATGATGAGGCATTCCTCTCTGCACATCGCTGGGATCTGATTGACTTTGCCGGCTACTCTGTCACGGCTAAAAAAAGTACCGATACGGTGGCATCGCATGATGCCTTGTCGGGCGCACCTGAACTCTCGGTGAAATTACGGAATTGTACGGAAAGCGGTAGTGGCAGGGAGCTCAACCAAGGCAGGGAAGCCGTTGCAACGGAGTGGAATGTCAACGAGGCGAAGCAAGACGACATGCCAAGTCAAAGTGCTTCAAGTGACGCCGATGGGTTGGACCAGACCTGGATAGCTAACGCAAAGATGATTGCCTCCGTGTGTCGTGCCCTGGTCGCAATGCCGATCTATTGGCTAATCACAAATCAGTTTAGTACCAACATGATTCTACAAGCAGCAACGACGGGTCTCCCATCGTATATTCCGCCAGAAGTATTCAACAACGTCAATGTCATTTCCCTCCTTATCTCTTTGTTGCTTTTTGATCGCGTTGTATTTCCATTTGTTTTTGTTAACAAAACTCCCCCTGTACGAGGACGTGTGGTATGTGGCTTTGCCACAATGATAATTTCTATGTTTTGGTGTGGCGTTGTGCAGATAAATATAGATCACCGTGGAAAATATGACGAGAAGGATATTTATCATTTGCTTCCTGGTATGACAATGGTATCACCTCTGTGGCTGGTTCCGCCCTACATCATGCAGGGTGTCGCGAGTGCCTTGGTAGATACAACCATCATGGAGGTGGTGTACGTTGCAGCACCGACATCAATGAAGGGCACGATGATGGCGTTCTATCTCATGGCCTCTAGCCTAAGCGGATTTCTTGGTCTTGCACTTTCACCTGCGATGCGGCCGAAAAACGCCCAAATAGTCATCTTCTCTCTGACAGGGGCGCTTGTATTGGTGACAGTTTTGTTTTATCTTCTTAATTCTCCCACGGCAGAAGCTGTGACAGAAGCTAGCGACGGTCAGGGGACGGATGTGGCGGCTGATCCCTACACTGTTTCCAAGGAAGAGAAGGAGTGCTTGTTGTTGAAGGGCTTTTCTCGAAGTGAGAATGCGGCGTACTATGGTGGTGTTCTCCATCACAGAGAGGTTTCACACCTGTGAGAAGGTGCATACAGAAACTCCTGGGTCCATGGACATCACAAGCGTGGCTTGAAAAGAGAGAGATGGTTGTATCTTGTACCACGGCACCGTTACGATGATAGCAGAGGGACGGAATACAGGAAAGGGGCAAGAATCGATAAGAAACGGGAGAAGAAAGAAGAAGAAGAATAGGGCACCGGTAATTCGTAGGGGATGTGAATGACAGTACCGCTCAGTTCATTTTTAAACTTGATTGTAAATTTGTCTTGTCCGCTTCTTGATGTGAAAATATGTTCTTTTTCAGTAACGCTGCTTATTTTTTTATTTGGGGTGGAACAAAAACAAAAAGGAAAAAGGAAAAAGCATCAAGTGAGATGCGATGTGTAAGGCCTTTTCTGCCGTTACGCGTTATGGTATTATGGGAAAGTGTGTTGTCTTGATGAACCCACACTTTCCCCTTTTGTTTATTTTACTTATTATGAAATAAACCTTTTGATAGCGTATCTATTCATTCCCAGCCTTACTTTTGATTTTGAAGAAATGATTTCCTTCTGGATCGGCGTCATTGACCATTGTGACGATTCTTCATGTGCGCATACTTCTCTGTGTATTCCTGCGCTACATTTCATTTTTATTGTTGGTGAACCATCCTTTTTTTTTTGTTGTTGTTGTTGTTTTTGTGTGTGTGTTTGCGACCGTATCTTAGGATCGTGAGGAATCGTGGACGATGGCCCCCGCTAAGAAGAAAAGTGCCACCAGGAAGGTTGCCAAGAAAGTGAGCCGCAAGAGCCCCGAGTACACGACGCTGCGCAAGAGCTGCAAGCCCGGCACCATCGCCATCATCCTTGCCGGCCGCTTCCGTGGCCGCCGTGTGGTGATTCTGAAGCAGCTGCCCCGCAACGGTCCGCTGGTCATCTCCGGGCCCATGAAATACAACGGCGTGCCGATCCGTCGCATCGACTCTCGATACGTCATTGCGACGTCGACGAAGGTGAACATCAAAAATGTGGACGTGAGCGGCATCACCCCCGACATCTTCAAGCGCCCGAAGCAGGAAAAACGCGTGAAGTCGGAGGGTGAGTTTATGGGTGACAAGGCGAAGAAAGCGGCGGAGCAGAAGGCCAAAAAGACGGCGAAGGCGGCACCGAAGGGAATCGTCAGTGATGCCCGTGCGCAGCTGCAGAAGACGGTTGATGCTGCGCTCATTGAGGCGATCAGGAAGGACCCGCTCGGGAAGGAAAAGGCCGGATACCTCCACTCCGTGTTCACCATCAAGCCGGGTGATGCGCCCCATCGCATGAGATGGTAAGCATCACGATTCATCGGGTATTGATCTACGCCCTCTTGTTTTCTTATATATATTTTTTTTTGTTTTGTTTTGTAAAAATAAAAAAAAAATTTATGCCTCTTAAGTGGAGGTGTCAGAGCCGAGTTTTTTACAGCCTCTCTTTCACTCAACGATGACAGAGTCTTGCAGAAAATAACTTAATTGATTCTTTTTTTTTTTGAGGCTATCGGCCACGTTCACAGCGTGGTTTCGAAAGGGGTGGACGCACACACAAGGAAGAAATAAATTTTCTGGAAGTCTGTAAGATGAGTGATAGCGACAATGACTCCTATGACCCGGCGGAGAACAGTGGCACAAGAGCGGTGCAGAACTTATCTATCCCGCCGCATTTCTTGGCCACTGTGGCTTCAAAAAGCATCGCCCGTGATGTTCCGGCTTCCCTGCCGCAGCCATTGGCCCACCAAGTAGAAGAGGCGACCAGGAAGGAATCTACAGCGGTATCTTCTGAAACAGTGGACTTGAAAAACTCCTTAACATCCCTGAGCCTTCGTCTTCGCGGGGCAGCGGGCCGGGTTTCTTCCATCTGTCTTAATCCTTTGGGTTCAACACTCTGCAGTGGTACTGAGGGAGGCTCTGTGTGTATGTGGGATTTTTCGGTTCCTATGGAAAGTTCTGCTTTAAGGCCCACGCGTGTTCTCACGCCATTTCCCAATCGCATTTCTGGATTTCAACCGGTTGTCTCCGTGCACTTTGCTAGCGATGGATCTTTTTTTGTTGCTTGTCAAGATGGCGACTCGCCTGCTTTGATCGCTGCAAATGGCAAGCAGCTGGGGTACTGCGCTATGGGACAGCGTGGTATGGTGGATGTTCTCCAGTGCAAAGGTCATAGAGCACCAGTGACCTGCTCCGCACCATCTCTCACAGATCCCTCAAAGTTTTTTACGGGATCACAGGACAGCACGGCTCGGGTTTGGGATGCAGCGTCGTTTGAGCGACAGTCTGTCTACGCAGTGAAACACGGATCTGGGCAACTGTTGGAGAATGTTGTTGTGGAAACTGTTGCACCCATTCTAAGCCTCAGCAATGAGAATAAGTCTGTCTTTGCTACCGGTGGGGAAGATGGGTTGGTGCAGCTGTGGGATACGCGTCAAAAGTATCGGCCCGGTGGCGCACTCGGTGTACTGGATTTGTACAGCGGCCATACGGGTGTTTCAGCAAAGGTTAAACCCCCAAATGATGAAATGTTTTTTGAGGAAAAACATTTGGGTGGCATGGTGGAGCCAGACACATCCCGTCCTATGCTTTGTGTGCGGCGGGGTTCTGAAGTGCGCGTGGTGGATTTGCGGAAGATGGGAAGGAGCGGCGTGATTGAAGACGTTTGCCCACCGCTTACAGGTCTTCCATTTACCACAGACACAACACCCTTAGTAGCGTGCACAAGTACCTTGTACTCACAGGAAAAACCATCATTCATGACGTGCACTAGTCGAAAAGGCTACCGGCAAGTTGCAGGAGGTCATGTTTTACAGTTTACATACATGGATGGAGGTTATGAGCCCACCATGGTGTGGAGGCCCGGGGCCTCGGAGGATGACGTTCTCTCCCTTGCTATTGATGTGAAGCACGGGCAGATTTTTGCGGGAATGCAGACTGGCGATATCGTTGGACGAGTCAAGCGAATGGCTGTGGATAGTTTTACTAACGAACCAACGCTTCAGACATGGTTTGCCACACGGCCAGAACGCGGGAGACGTGTGGTGGGGGAAAAGTCTGGAAGAGAGAACACGAATGGGGATGACGAAGACGATGATTTGGTGTTTTAAACAATATATATATTCTTGTCTACTTTCATGCAACGGCCCGGTGTTTTGTTTATTTTCCCAGTCGTTGGCATACGCATGCTATTATAAATGGACGAATGCGTCGGCCAAGCGAAGCAAAAAGAAAAAGAAAAAATGGCCTTTGCTAATTTATTTCTTCATTTCTTCCTGATTGGCCGTAGTAAGTGCTTAATAGGTAGATCAGTAGATAGAACTTGGGGGGTGCCGAGTGGGATTTGTGTTTGCTACTCTCACCATAATGTTAGAGGTCCAGAGTTGCAGAGGAGACGGTCAAAAAGTAAATATTTCCCGTTCTTCAGAGGCGGTTCTTGGTCCGCCGCCTGTGTATGACGACATCTGCCGCTTTGTTGCAGAGTATGCAGGGCGTTTGCCGCGCAACGCCTTCACTGGGACAGCCCCGTATGAGTATACTGGCTGCGACTACGCACTGATTCTGTATGCCATTATGCCTAGCAGGTGCATTGATCTCTCCAGTCTTTGTTGGTCAACGACACCTCTTCCGGCGCAGCTGGAGTCGAATTTGGCGGTATTCTGTGAAGGTTGTTGTGGGCTGCAGTTGTGTGACGCTCCGTTGTCTTCATTGCACCCGCATTGCCTTCGATGCTCACCGACGTGTATTGTTCATCACATCAAGGTGCAGCACTGGCTTTTTGTTTTATCACAGCGATTTCCGCCAGAGGGGAGCTTTGATGCCGTGACGCTGCGGATGGAATTGCGTCACACCCAGCTTGGCGAGCCACGCCTGGCGACATCACACGCGTTGTCTTCTACAGATGTCCACATTGCCAGCACGAATGGAGAGGACGACTTATCTCTCCCTTCCCTGCACTGTCACGTCATTTGGAAGGCGCCGGCGGTGGCGGTGATGGAAAACGCTGAGCGCGGCACCGCCGCGGTGTCAGAAGCAAAAACACCGAAAAAGAAGCGTGGGTCTGATGACGACGAGATCCAGCGGAAGCCGTGGAGAAGCGCTGCTCGCCCGTGGCGTACGGCATCCACAATCAAATCAGCTTCTCAAAGAACAGAGCGAACGTCGCTTCCATCGCAGCCTTCGAGTAACGACTGCGCCAATTCTTCTTCAACAATATGCCACAATCTCGCTCATCAGTGGGTTGAGTCCGAGCGACGGCGACTGCAGCTCAAGGAGAATATTGCACACGCCCGACAGACACTACAGTGTACACTTTTTGCTAACGGGACGATCGATTTTGATGACATTCTTTCCATTTTGCAGCAGAAGCAGCAATGATATTTTGCGAAGAGTAACGTTCTATATCTCTCGCCTTTCTTCCTGGTTTTGTTTTTTCCCTCTTCTTTTTTATCTCAGTGTGTCCGCCGCCAATTGAACCTCCCCTCTGATTTGCAGCTTTAGATCCATGGTTACCAACACACTTTTATTTGCTTCCTGGCGAAGAAAAGAAATAAAAGTAAAGCAAGCATTTCGTTTTTTTTTTTTTTATTGGGGGGAGTTTTGGGCGTCACACGCCCATCTTTGGTTTTTCTCCCTCTCTTTCTATGCGTGTGTGTGTGTGCACAAGTCTCCCATCTTGCTCTTGATTTTTTTATTTTTTTCGCTGTGGGGCAATTCTTTTTGCCCTTCGGTGAAGGCCTCGTGGGTGGAGGATGCGGCCCCGGTCAGTGGCGCGGCACCTGTTGGCGGGCGTCCGCAATCCCCGACGTTGGCTGTACGCAAAAGTAGTAGACACCATGAGAGAGAACACCAATGACGTCAACAATGTTGGTGGTGCGTCGGTCAGCAAGGTCAGAGGATTACGCCCATGGGTGTGGCTGCGTCTGCACCCCGTGGAAAAGTGGACGACGCTTGTCGATCTCGGGAGGCGTGCCCCATCGCTGCTTGAGAAGTCCTTCTGTGTTGCAAAAGGAATTGGAAAAGAGGAAGGAACTTCGGTGAGCGTTGTTGCCCGTTTGTTTCGTTGGCGTGAACTAAAGATGGATGTTGCAATGCCGCAGGCACGACTCTCGCCCTTGGCATTGAGACGACATCATCTGTTGGTTCAAAAGCTTCCGTATTGTTTGCGTCTTCGACTCTGTTTGTCCTTCTTGCTTTGGGTGCGTTCCCTGCGGGATGTGCAGGATACGCTAGCACGCCTTAGGCTGCCGTACGCCAATACGCGTCGCGTGCGGCGTAGTGTGGTGGCTGACGTCTTCCCGACGCGTATGATGGAGCGCTTTGTTGACTCCTTCACAACGGTTGCAGTAAAAATAGATTCTGAAATTAATGCGACCGCGGAGCAGGTGCCCGCGCCGCATGCATGGAACCCTGAACAAGAAGAAGGGGCGGAATTGGATGAAATAAGGAGGAGAAAACTTATGCGTAAAAGCGTAACAGGCAGTGGGGGACGATTTGGCAGGGGCAGCGGAGAATGTCACGGTGAACGTGAAAGTCTTTATCGGCCTGGACGAAATCGGAAGGATATCTTGCTTGCTGTTCAGGACATGAAGGCGAGGCCAAGCGATGACGACAGGTTAGCCAGACGGAGGGCGCGGAACAGTTTCCGCTCATTTAAACAATCCCCTTTTGTGTCTTGGGCTCGGCGAAAAACGATGTCGTGCGTATCGCCCCCATGGTCAATGAACGATGCATCCCGCTCTGCTCTTCCCTTCCCGCTTGCCATCGACCACAAGGAGGACGAAGAATACCACCGCAACTTAATCCGAGGCGAAGGATGCCCAATTGACGAGAATGGTCGCTTGGAATCCGTTCCCATTCATGTTGAGGTACCACCTGCAGCAAATCTATTAGACTTGGAACGCTTCTGTGTCATGGCGCACGCGGCAGTGTTGTCTTCCTTATTTGTGGAGGGGCGCACGGTGTGCTTTACAACAAATCATTCTTTGCTTATGGAGTATGTCCTGTTCCTTTTTGAAGAATTAACTGAAGATGGCTGGGTATCCGTATCGTTGTGCGAAGAGCCTCTCCGTCCCTACATACCGGCTTGGTCTACCAGGGAAACTGTTGTAGTGTTGCTTCCATCCAGGGAAGAAAATTCATATCGTTTGCGTGATCTTCGTAACATGGCCGACATGATTCTTCAGTATGCTCCTTGTAGCGTTCTTGTTGAGGCGGTGCCGTGTGACCAGATGCGGTTTTACACCAAAGTTCTGATGGAAGAGGTAAAGAAGCAGCGGGCATCTGTTGTTACTCCACAAACGGAAGCTCATTGGCGTGTATCGTGGGTTCCTGTATCACACTCCACGACCTTTGGGAGCATCAACAAAAATACGAATGCTGCAAATGATGATTTCCAATTAGGTGTGAATGAAATTTTGCGTCAGTTTTATGCGGTGACGTTTATTTACATGCCCTCCAACTGCCGGTTCACCCCCCGACAAGTGCAGGATTGGTGGTGGCATAAACTTCCTAGCAACATCCATATCGTTGCTGTGAATAGCCACGCGCTGGACCTCTTGTATTACTTTCCGCAAGCACCTTTCCTGCGGAAGAAAATCGGTAACTCGTTTCGATACCGTGCAGTACAGCGTGTGCTGTTGGGCAAGAATGTTCACGGTGGGAGAGAGGATCCCATGCGTCATTGGGTGCATCGGTGGCTCTGTTTGCGTGGGCCTTATCGGACAGGCCTGTGCAGTGCAATGGCGCTGAAGGAAAAGGCAAGAGTACTTTTGGCCGACCAAGAAAACGTCCGAGTGGACGATGATGATGATGAGGCTGTGGATGCGTTAAAGTGGGAGCGAACCGTGGACTACCTGGCGAACCCAAGTAGATTTCACTGGATTGCGTTGATGGCAGCGAAGCTGTTTCGTGTGTAGGAGTGAAAAGGAAGGAAAAATCCATACACTCATTCACACTCACGAGAAGGATGCAAGGAAGGAGGAGTCAATTTGATTTTGCCGCTTTTTATGATTATTCCAAACGGAACGGCACGCAAATTTTTTTACTTTTTTTTTGTTGTTTTTGAATGAAACCTTTATCTATCTACCGTTTTTGTTGTTGTTGTTTTTTTGTTTATTGGGTGGAATTTTGGACAGGCACACATAGAGGCAAATATATAAATGCCGCCCTCATTGGACTGCGCTGAGGGAATGCGGTGCCTTACATGTGCCTCTGATAGAAATGACGCGGCTTCCGAGAACGCCAACGCCGGTGAGTTCATTGCTTGTTCTAGATGCCAGCAGCCATTGTACTGTTCTGTGACCTGCGCGGAGGTTGGATGGTTTGGCCACAGGCCATTTTGTAGGGTCCAAGCCAACAAGGATGATGTGACGCAGTTGGCAACGACGACGCGGAGACAGAGGCAGCAGCAAGAAAACATGAATCAGATGGGGAGAGCATTGGGACATCCCGTCGTGGTGGAGATGATATCGTCTTGTTATTTGCATGCACTGCATTTACTGGACACAGTTTTGTTTACGGAAGGATTTTTTGCTGACGTCGAGAATAAAGAATCGCTTTTGCTTATCGAAGGTGTGGTGAAGCTTTTTAAGGGGGCATTAAAGAACAGTGAAAGTGCTGTGGAGACCGCAGCGATAGCGCTGTCTTTGTGTAGGCTTCTTTCCATCGTTCTCGGCAACCACGAAGAGGCCTTGACTGTATTGCGGACGGGACTTGCCAAACTCATACCGCACAAATCGGAAGAAAAAGTCATGGCGTGTTGGGGTCTGTTAGAGGCTGAGCGCATGAACATTTGGACTCGGAAATATCCCAACGTAATAGTGGCTCCGGGAGAGACACCGGTTTCGTCCCAGCGCATCATGTCTGGTGAAGTAGTGGCCTCTGACAGCGTGCCGTTATTGGCCTGGGAGGCCAATGGCTTCCCTCCCGCATTGATTCCAAGACAAACATCCGTGCACGATGATGGACTGCGAGCTCTTCGTAATGCCTTTTTGCAGAGGGAAAGTGATGGGCTAGTAATCGATGGTTTGGCGGTAAGTAGGGACGATCTCCTGGCAATTCTGCTAGAATACCCGAAATGTGTGAGGGCTGTAAGTGCGAACGCAGTTTTGTCGGCGCAAACGTACCTTGCAGCGATCTCGGACAGCCCACCACCTCGCTGGTTGGTGAATCTTTTTTTTATGGCAATGGTCTCGCAGCGAAGCTTCCATTCAAACGAGTGGGGTTTTTTTGATCTTGTTTCGCGTGTCCCTCATTCTTGTTCCCCGAATTGCATTTGGAATCCCGAGACATGTAAGTTGCAGGCCCTGCGCATGATAGATAGACACGAGCCACTCACGATAGATTTCTTTTGGCGACCCCAGTTTGACATTACACGCCAGACAATACTAAAACTCCCAATCTCCATGCGACAAGAAAGCGTGTGCGCGAATGTTGGATTTGTGTGTTCATGTGATCGATGCGCTGGTGGTGCGGAGTGCTCCCATCATGAATGCGTTGCGGTGGATAGAATGAGGCGGCAGGAACCAAAAAATGAACCTGAACTACACGGAGTGGATGCTCTGCGAGCCTTTCCATGTCCCCTCTGTAGAGACAAAGAGGGCTGGCGGTACCGACTTCTTTTTCACGGGTCATACCCACAGCAGCGTGGTATGTCATTGGAGGAAGAAAACAAATGTGCACTGCAGTGTCGGCTCAAACAGTGCGAGCCTTGGGTGTGCCACCGTTGTGGGGAGCGGTGGCGAGACAGCGAGATGCCCGCGGGGGAGATGAAGCTGTGTCGTCAAGCCGAGCGCCTCGTGAGTGTTGCGTCCCGTGGCATTATCGAACGTAAATTTTTTGAAGAAGCAAAAGGCCTCATGCATGATGTTTTACATCTTCTTGGGTGGCAGCATCATAGCGCATATCTTCTTGCCTGCGAAGCGTTTGTGCACTTCTACCGTTACATCAGCCGCCGCTTTGCCCCACCAACAAGCCTCCTGGCACAACGCCACACTGTCTCGTGGTGTCGAAAGTGGATTAAGTGCGCCCATAACACAAACTTATCGAAGGACTGTCCGCATGTTTACGCCGCTTTTATTGTAGAAACTTCCCTTTCACTCTCAAGTGGGACGCTGCAGAGGGAAAAGCTGCTTCTTCTTTGCCACGCGGAAGCGCATTGTCCTACCGCAGTCATTCGTGGAGCGGACAGCACGGAGGCATCAGCTGTTTCCGCCATCCTCCATGACTCGTCAAGTACAGAACACGCGAACAACGGTCAGGCGTCATCCATGTTTGCACGATTTATGGACGCCGAAGAGCACGAAGATGAACTTGAACTGATTTCCGACTGGGAATCACACATTTTGGGGCGTCTTCAATCAGAGGTTCAAAGTAACAAACAACCCAACCTTCCAACCCACCTAATGAACGCACTCCAGAAATAACAAAGAGCATTTCGACAGCAATATTTGTTAACCACACGATTATAAGTAAATAATACATTTTATTAGCCATTTCATGTATGTTACTCGTTGACTGAGATGACCTTTTTGTTGTTTTTATCTCTTTGTATCAGCAATGCTAACAAGAATTAAGTGCAGAATAATCTTGGAAATATACAAACAGTAAGAGGAAAATGTTTTTTTTTTTTTTTTTTTGGAAACGACGACACAACTCAGCGCACTCTATTGATCTTTTTTGCGGATCGGCTCATGATGACCACAATGCCATGAATCGTTCCCTGGCGCGGCCAGACACCTCAACGTGGTGCCAGGGTCTAGTACTCTTTGCTAGAGAGGAAGCTAAGCGCCTGCTGTTCATGCTTCAAACCCGATTGAGCCATGTTACTTAGTTTTGCGGGCCGGAAGCGCACCAGATGGAGCCATTTGTAATGACTGCCGCGGGGTAAGGTTATCCTTGCTTCTCAATTCCTTCGTACGCTTACCAGAGCTGCACATCGGAGATATGTGTAGTTACTACGACTGGTAAGAGGAAAAAATATATACTTCTTTCAACGACAACGCCACCAGGGGCGTAGACGCGCACGCTTTGTGGAATTTGTGGACGACGCGTGATGAGCAAGAGGCGCCTTACCCTCTTCATGAAGGAGCAGAATTAACCGTCTGAGTGGTTGACTGCCCAGATGACAGGCGCAAACTGATTGAATGCTCTCTCCCCCCGCTTCTCCTTCCTTTCCGGTTGCTGTCGTATGTTTTGGCGTGCAAAGGAGGTACATGCGCCGCTGGGCGTGCCCAGTCACCCAGCGGAGCGATTTGCCCCCGAGAGGAATCAACCACATCTGTGACTGCTGATGAAGCTGATATGGTCCGTGTTTCAGACTCCTGGATTGACGTACAGCAGCATATCCACTGACTCACTCCTTCTTTCCCCTTCTTTCTTTCCTGATTGCGACGGAGCGCGCTCCTTCTATTCCACAGGCGTTGTCGGTTGGGTCAGTGGCACGTGCTCTCCCTGTAACCCTATCTCGCAGCCCCGAGAACATGAAAGTGGGCATTGCTTGGTGCGTAGACGCGCACGCTTCGTGGAATTTGTGGACGACGCGTGATGAGCAAGAGGCGCCTTACCCTCTTCATGAAAGAGCAGAATTAACCGTCTGAGTGGTTGACTGCCCAGATGACAGGCGCAAACTGATTGAATGCTCTCTCCCCCCGCTTCTCCTTCCTTTCCGGTTGCTGTCGTATGTTTTGGCGTGCAAAGGAGGTACATGCGCCGCTGGGCGTGCCCAGTCACCCAGCGGAGCGATTTGCCCCCGAGAGGAATCAACCACATCTGTGACTGCTGATGAAGCTGATATGGTCCGTGTTTCAGACTCCTGGATTGACGTACAGCAGCATATCCACTGACTCACTCCTTCTTTCCCCTTCTTTCTTTCCTGATTGCGACGGAGCGCGCTCCTTCTATTCCACAGGTGTTGTCGGTTGGGTCAGTGGCTCGTGCTCTCCCTGTAACCCTATCTCGCAGCCCCGAGAACATGAAAGTGGGCATTGCTTCTACTTTTTCTTCTTTGTATTGTTGTGTTTTTCTGGTGTATGCCAGTTGTGTATTCTAGTTTTTTTTGTGGTTGTGTCTCTTGTTTATATATATATATATATTTAACTTCTTGTTGTTCTTTGGTTGTGTGTGTGTTGTTATTTTTTTCTTTTAGGAACTTTGACGTGTGGGTGTTTGTTCCCTGTTTGTGTGTCGCAGTTTTTTATTGACATGTCCCTTTTTGATGATGATAGTGTGAGTTCTTCTTCATCGGGTTGTGATGAAATGGGTCGTATGGGTGGCAATGAATTTCTCTGCGCCTCAGTTAAACGTGATTTGCTTCATAAGAATGGTGCTGGGGGCACCGTGAACTTGGCGTTGGGTGATGGGGTGTCGCGGTTTACTCTCACGGCTGAAGAAAATAGGCAGGCAGATGAGCGACGTCGCAGGGAGGCGGCAAGTCGATCGCGGCTACATGGTGCACAAAATGCCGAAGCGGATGGAGGCAAATCGGTCCCGGGGGAGAGTCGCTTTTATGCTTCCATGGCGGAGGCTCTTCAGGTGCGAAGGAATGCACGAGAGGCGTTGTTTTTGCAGCGGATTCAGAAGCGGCGACAGGAGGAGGCGGGAAACTCAGAATTGGTAGAGAAAGACCTTGAGGTTGGCGTCTTCGTCACGCCACAGTACCTGGCGGCGTTAAAGCGTCAGAAGCATCTTTCCGTTGACGCATCTCACGTCCGTGCGGGAATTGATACCGCGGGAAGTGTGGAGGTGACTGATCCTCTGGAGGTTTATGTGCGCCAACTCGAGGAGAAGCGGTTGAATGCAGCTCCGCATTTTTCCTCAACAGTTTCGGCGGTCGGCGCTGTTACTGCCGATTGCTGCAGGCAGAACGAGGCGAAGGCGATAACGCCTGCTGCGCAGGAGAATCCGCGGCTCAATGTTGGAATTGACGTGTTACCGGAAAGGAGGAATTGTGATTCAACGACGCACACTGTGTTGTCTTCATCGATAGAAACACCCACGACCGTCGCGTCATTGCCTGATGAAAGCGGCATTAATTTGCGGGGCGACGACAATATCAGCCGCTCTCTAACGTCTTTTTCTGCGCCGCTTGAGACGGTATCTCCTGAGGATGTTATCCGTATGGCAAGAGAGAGTCGCAAGCGTCATCGCGCGGACCGACACTTTATGACAGCCGCTGCCGATAGATTCAATGTGCGGGCTTTAGAAGGAATTGGGACGGGGTGACACCAAAATACGGCGATGAAACGAGGAGCGGGAGAATTTAAAACGCCCTGTTGCTTTTGCTGCGTGTGCTTTCTTTTCTACCTGGGACTCATTGCGGTACTTTTTGCCATTTTTTTTTTTCTTGACTGGTGGTGATTTGTCTCTCTTTCTCTTTTTGTTTTTTGCCTTCCTCTTTTTGTCGTGGCGTTGTAAGCGGAGAAGAGGGAATAAAATTATATACATACATACATATATATACGTTGCGCACGCGTGAGAAAGAAACAAAGAGAGGACAGAAACAGTCAGACGATAAAAAAAAAAAAAAAAAACAGAAGAAGAAACCACCAAAATTTGTGGGGGCGTAGAGGAGGAAGTAGAAAAAGGACTGGTGTGGGAAGGAGACTGAGAGAGCGAGAGGAAACAGGGCTTCCCACGACCGAGTGAAGGAAGAATAATAATAAAAAAACAATGGCGAGCGGGGAGAAAAAACCGCCAAAAACGGATCCTTTTTTTGTGATGCCTGCGTGCAATAGTTCTCCAGAAAAGTCAAAAGCAGTATTGTTGAAAAAGAGCTCTCAAGTGGGAGCGGAGAGTTGGCCGTTGCACACATCAAAGTTAGACGTCTCCGATGAATGTTTCGCCAGCCCACTCAGTAGCGTTGGAATGGCTCCCAAACCGGATAGTGAGTCTTATTTGCCTATTCTTTCGGTTCATTGTGACGACTTGGATTCAGTAGACGAGACACCCGCGGAGCAAACGCACGCATTCTTGGAGAATTCACCGCTGGATTGTGGACGTTGCAATGAAGTGTTTCATTTGGAAAATCCACGTGCTGGGGGAGTAAGAACCCCATTCGCCTCTACTCCCACCATGGGGCACTCTGGGACTCCACGCTCACCTTCAAGTCGTCGCTTGTCCGTCATGGAGAATTCTCACTTGCATCGTGCTTTTTCTGTTCGGTTGTGGAACCACAACGATTCAAATACCGCAAATGAAATTTCACTACAGAATGCAGAGAATTACTTCCAGAGCCGCACACATCCGTCCATGATTCTCCGTCCACAGTCCTCCAGTCCACGTAGTGCTCGTAGCCACGGCACCAGATCTTCACAGATGTGGCGCGGTGACACGATCGAAGAAACACTCTCACAGTCTTTCAGCCCATTTAGGTCGAATGCCCGAATGTGGGACCCACGAGCACCCACTGATATTGGCCCTTTTCCTCGTAGTTGCATCAGCTCCCGTCGCCAGAGCATTTTCCCCCACACGGGAAGTCAAGCAGTTTGTGCGTCTAGTAGTTCAAGAGAATTGGATATCCGTCCTGGTTTTCCTAAAGAGGAACACCACTCGTGGGCTCTAACGGGGAAGAAAGGGCAGGCTCTGTCAGGCGACGCAAACCCTTTGTTGTCAGGATCAATGTGCCCAGAGGACTTGAGCATGGGTCAAAAAGTTCTCATTGAGAAAATTGAGCAATTAGAAATGAGAGTTGAGCAATCGGAGAGATCATTGGCACAATTAGTCGAGAGTTTTGAGGCACGCCAGGCCAAACTAGAAAAACGTCTGACAGAGTTGCAGCAACAGACAGTGTTGGTCAACTTGCGTGATGGGCCGTCACCACCAAATTCCAATTCACCTGGCGGAACGAGAGAGCCTTCGCGCGTGAGAGATGCTTGATTTTTGTGAATTTCATTTCGAAGAAAAGAGAATCAAAAATTTTTCATGAAGGTGACTACAATAAGCCAAAATAAAAGACGGAGAAAAGAAAAAAAGAAGGAAAAAAAGGGGTGCGATGAAAACAAAACTGAAAGTGGCAATTAAATATGTTTTTTATGATTATTTATTACGTTTCACGTGTCATGTGCACTGCATTTTACATTTTTTATGTTGTTTCCGAAGTTCTTCTCTCGCCATGTACAAACGAGTTGAATTTTATGATATGCGCGAACGCTGCGCCCTTGGAGAGCAGCAAATTTCTTTCACTTTGCACATGCTACTGCTTTACATACAAAACTCTTTATTATTATTATATTTAACATTTTCTTTTTTTTACACCGTCTGTTTTGTTTGTGAGATTTCACGATTCGCGCGGCACAACGCCATATTGTCAGGCAAATCATTGTGAAAAGAAGGACAAGTGTTGTTTTACATACGAGTGATTTTGGCGGCGGTGTAACAGAAGCTTGTGGAAGGAGTGCGGGCCCAGATGGTGCCAAATAAATGGGTGGGAGACTCATATATAAACCTTCTTTTTTTTTTTAATCTATTGACTGGATTTTTTTCGAGGGCAGGGCGGCGGGTGTTTGTTGTTTTTGAAGGATGGAGTCCCTTCCCTGCACATTCGGCGAGCGGGCAGGCGCTGGCTGAAGGTTTCTGGAGCAATTCGGCCGACGTGGTTCCATCCGAGTGATCATCTTCAGGCAATTATCCGGCGGTTGCGTGACCCAACGTGAGCCCTCGGCTTTGATTGCCGTGGCCGGTCTCATCCCATCGGACCGTGCTGGCTGGACGTCTTGGTGGGATCTTGCGGTGTGCGGAAACGCGGCGGGCATGCACACTCCGGGCTGGCCACAGTTTTTGGCGAGTCATCTCTCACCACGCATGAACGCGGCGAGGGCAATTAGACGGGTGCAAGGCATGCTAACCACCAAAAACTTGAATTTTCGGCACGACTATGCCCAGGCCATCGGGGATCAACAGCATCGTTGCGCTCTCTTCAGTGCGCAGCTAGTGGCCTAGGAGAAGAGGGACTCCGTGTGACCCTCGCGGAGGGCCCTTCCGCGAGAAGTGCAGGAATTTTGGGAAAAGGAGACGCGGCCGTTGACGAGGAAGAGGCTTGGAGAAGCCAGCGCTGCCCGAGTTCACCCCCCAACCGCGTGGTGGCAACTCCCTGGTGTCCAAGCGTCGCCTTGTCCCGTGGGAAACTCCTAGCATCCTCTTTTTTGCAACGGCGGCGGGGACGATGGTGGTGGCCGTGAGCCCCCCGAATACATGCGTTCCTCCACTTGCCCAGGGCTCCGCCAACGACGTGCCGAGCCGGGAATTCTCGGGGGATGGGGGGAAGCCCCGGGTTCCTCATTCACGACGCGGCTAAATGGGTCTCTCGTTCCCAGAGTGGGGCTTGCAGGCTCTGGAGCTGCTGCTGCGCAGGAGCCCGGCGACTGGGGATAGGAATCCACACATGTTCAGGAGGCGCTCGCGAGCCCCATGGGATGGGTCGGGATGGGCGGTGATCTTGGTGCGCCGTCGTCGGTGGTGTTGAATTTCAGCGACGCCCTGCGCACGATGACTTTTGGGCGGCGCGCCCTAGCATTTTCATGATGGGGCCGCGTTCATGTTTGCACAGGACTATGTACGAGACGGGCGCGTTGGAAAATTCTACCCAGCCGCTGACCGTGAAGGAGCAGCGAGCACGATCTTCTCGTGGCCGGCTGTATGGGTTATTTGGGCAATAAGCATCTTGGGGCTTCTTG